CGTTGTTTAGGTCTATATTACAGCCGTTCTAGGCGTGCGCTTTATTTGAAATGCAGCATGCGATGTTGTTTAATAACTTTCAAACGGTAGAGCCTGTTCCTTTATAACATAGCCAAAGGTCGGTGTATTTTTGCTTTATACATTTTAGGCTTGTTCTCAAATTCATATTGTGTTAGGGGGGCGGGATTATTACGCAATTTTAATCGGACAATTTGACCGGAGAGATTTAATTTTGTCGGACATTTCATTTTTTTCCCGGCCAATGTCCGGTAATTACCGGACAACGGAAACCCTGCCTTTACCACAGAGCAGGATGCCTGCAGGTGTTTCAGTCACACTGTACGTGAGGCAGGACTAGGCAAAACCCTTTTTACATGCGTGACCCGTCACATCTGCCCTTTCAAATGATAATGTAGCAACACTAAAATTATCAAAGACCATTTGCCTTTTGTTCCAAAGGCGTTCATTTCTTTTGTAAGTCCATCCTTGTATTTAACAGCTCTATGATTAACAGATGTTAGACTGTGTGAAGATGAACACCATTTGTTGTGGCTATAATGGCAAGGATTTTAATAAGAGGTCTCATGAGCACAGCATTGTGGAATTTAATGTTTTGGTTGTCATGTTATTGCTAGTTAAATCTACAGGGCATGTTTTGACGAAGGTGAGGGATCAAAGGTCACACGAGATGGTCAGAGCCTTGTCACACTGAAACGCTGATATGGGGCCACCGTCTGGGCCTTAATGTCAGTTTCAAGAGCAGAAAGGTCAGATTGTTTTAATCAGCCTCATTCTAAGCATGTGTGCATGTGCTGGGGTATTTTGGGTAGTGGTGATAGGCCATACTTAGTGGTGTATATGTGGCTCTACACTATGAGCCTCTTTATAGCAGTTAAGACTGGCGATATTGGATTTGTTGTAATGTGCCACGTTCTCCCTCTCTCTCTGTTCAAAGACATTAACGGGTCCATAAATCTGCATTTCTATGCATTTGTGGTTTTGTCAGTGCCGTTTATGAGCAGCGTGTGTAATTGTGGAGTGTTTTGTTTAAGTTGCCGGCTGTCGTGGAAGTGCCATGCTGTAAAGACTCTTTGTCTGGTCGACATGAATAAAGGCAGCGGCAGGAGGAGGAGCTGTGTAATCTGACACAGCTGAGCTCTTGAACCGGTCCCACTCCTCGTCCTCAGAGAGAGAGAGCATGCTGACTTCAGACTGGCATTTGACTCCTCAACCCACAGGCAACAGTGGTGACGGTGCAGGCGGGACTCTCCTTCTTTCTGCGGTCGTTCTGAGAGTTCGCTCTTCTGTGCAACAGCATGTTTCTTCCTTCCCCGTCTTCACTTGCCGAGCTGACGGGGTATACTGAAAGTCATGGGAGTGGTCTTTCTCAAACGAGTCCTGGAATGTGCTTTTAAAGGGAGGAAAACCCTATCAACTCGTCTCCTTAACCCTGTTTTTAGTTTTTTCCCTCTTCCCTGGGATTGCTGCTTAAGTCTCCTTCCAGACGCTGGAAACTGGATCTACTTGTGTAACATTCCTAGATTACAGCAAATCCTTTTTTTCTCCCCCACTTCTTGTACTTTCTTTGTACTCATCATGTGCTGTTCTTTACTGAAAAGCAAGTCTTTTAAAAAGGAAATCTCCTGCGCTCCACTTTAAGCAACGGCTGTTGGAATTGCGCAAATTGCACGAGTGTGTTGGTGTTCGGGACTCAACCCTTCCTGGTGGTGGGGATACCTTAGTGGCCCTAGGCGACCTGTTGGAGCTGTGTTTCTATCTTGCGGTGTCACTAGAATAAGACTGTAGGAAAACGAGTGAAAGGAGGAACTCTGTCTTATGGGACCTTTTGTTTTTATGTAAAGAGCATGATGAAGAGTCAATCTGCTCCCCATGTCTGCTACGGTTAGACTACAGCCTGTGTACTCATGGAAGGGGGTGCTCAAGCTCTTCTCTTGCATAGCGGCCCGAACTGCTAGTAAACCTAAAGGTAACCGAAATATGCTCTCATTGTTTACTACCACCACTAACTCACCTGTAAGAGGCAGGCCATTTCATTTGTCTCTCATTTGTGTTAAAGTTAGCCAAAGACTGTTTTGTCCATACAATGAAAGTCAAAGGAGTTTAAAACAACATTGGGCCCCATTGACTTTCATTGTATATAGCATGTACCAAAAAACACAGAGACGTTTTGACACAAACCTTGTTTTCTTTGGGGTTCTGGTTATATTCCTATGCTTTCTACTGTAGACAAAGGAAAAGTTGTCTTTTTGAGACAACACTCTTTTCTCTGTTATAAAATGCTGAGAACCCTCCCATCCTTGATTTTGTTTTCTTTGTCTATGTGTGTGTTTGTTGTCATAGTTTGAGTCTATGGCATGCAAGGGTAACTTCAATGGAGCTGTCATCAGACATACTGTGTGCATTGTTCCAGCGTCTTGTACTCAGCGGTGCTTTTCTGTTCACTCTATTAGTAGTGTAGTAGTGCATAGGCTACTAGGATTATACATGCATGTGTTTGGAATTGGTGTGGAGTGTTGAACACTAAAGGGGGACGGTACAGTGAGGGCATGCTGTGACTCGTCTGCCTGCTCAGGGAACTATGACTCACAGACAGGAGGATCATGTGTTTTTGTGGCTTGTACATATCAAGAGACAATAAAATCATGTCGACTACTGAAGTATTAAAATATAAATATGTAAATAATGTTAAAGAATATATTGCATTGTATTATCAATCTTAAATTTTCAATTTTATTATGCAATTGAGACACAAGGGAAGCCTCTCCAGTAACTGAATAGCTAGAATTTAATTAAATGTATTTATTTTTTGAAAATCAGATTGAAAAAAGACAGAATTATATTGATTGGATCTCAATGATGACACTTTTCTAAATGTCATTTATAGAGAAATATTTTTTATTATTTTTCCATTTTTATTTTTTATTTCCTCAAATAAAATGTCTACACTTTTTTTTTAATTAATTTCCATTGAAATGAAATGTTGATTATAACTAGTAACTAGTTACATCATCTAAAAGCATACACTTTCGCTTACTGCAATCCCCTACAAGAAATAGATATAAATGTTACCACATTTCTCAAAAAAATATGCATGTTCATTTGCGCTCAATACATTTATATTTCTTTACCTCATCTCACATTTTTATTTTATTTTTTCATGCCAAATTTTTTTGCTGGTGGCTAAATGACTGCATTAGTTTTATGACACAGAATTGGTCCTGGGATTCAGAACGGTCACTATATGACTTGTGAAAGGCTTCATAAACTCGTCATGATGTTCTCATACTAGCAGCTAAGTCAATTACGAATGTTGATATCAAAACAAAATTGAGTTTTCAGCTTTTAAGTCCCTGTTGTCTTTTGGTCATGCTGATCCATGCTATTGACCATCTGCCAGATTTGGACTTCTACACCTCCTAATCTGCTGAATAATTTCACCAGATACTTTAATGCATATTGATCGTCCTTCCATTCTGAATTGCTTCTGATGAAATATTGAAGTGTGGCCTAATGTGGAGAAATCAATGTGAAGCCCAACCAGTATTGTGCTCTGCATTAGTCCTGCCCACCGTGAGTATCTGATTTAACAGGCCTCACATTACAAAAGATAAAAACGTATAAAGTTGTATTTAGGGCTGGGCAATATGGTCAGAGGTTTTTTCTTTTCTTTTCTTCCCTGAATGGAGAAACTGTATTTTTGACTTTTTCTATTTGGATTAAAAAAAGCACTTTTTTCTTTTCTTTTTTTTCCCTGTATTTTTTTTTTCACATACTGCCCAATGTTGTCTTACAATGTTAATGTTGAAGGCTATGAAAACAAATATATGGTTAAATGTAAGTAACCATGTAGGCTATGCTATATGTGTAAAAAAGGGTTAAAACAAAAAAGCAGATGTTAAAATTGCTACATCAAAAATTTAAAACAAAAAAGCACGGGGTAATTGTTAAATTAGCCTACATTTGATTACCCCATTACAAATAGTAAATTTACAGTTACTGCTATAATATAAATATACTTATTTGTAGGTTTAAAATTCTACAAATAGTTTTGCAAAATGTAGTTTAGTGGAGAATTGCTTGCAGAAGGCCCGTCCACTCCTGACAGCAAAATGGAAATATTTGCCTGATTTCAACATATGGAGAATACATGGAAATGTAAGTTATGCACCGAGGAAAAACGCCACATCTTAAATGCTATAAGCAGTACAAATATCTGAACTGAACTGAACATCTGACGGGGCAAGCTGGATTGAACTACATGCGTTAACTATATCTTACTGGTTATTTTTGAATATAAAGCATATCTCATGTTTAGGACAGTTTGGGTTATGCACTTTCCCCGCAGCTGCTCACTCTGTTTTCAGATGTGCTCGTAATACCAAACTAACATATATTGATATAAATTGTATTGCCTCATTCTGTATAGTTTATAAAAATATCGATATATCGTACAAACTCGGTATACTGCCCAGTCCTAGTTGAATTCATAGGGGCACTAAAAGGAGGTCGGTTAGATGGGTGTGCCTGTTTCTCTCATCATCACGTATGAAGAAATATCTGTTTTACTTGTTTTGTACTTGTATTGTTCCCGGCTTCATTGACTCTTCTGTTGTTTTATACTACATTGTACAGTTGCTATAGAAAAAACAAAGGTGTTGGTGTTTAGAAAGTAATTCTGGTCTAAGGATGCTTTGTTGATAAGAAGGATTTGGAACACTTAAGTAGGCCTAGTTTAGTTGGCGTGGGAGCTTAATGACACTTTAACAGCACGAAAACACTTTTTTTTTTTTTTTTTACACAATGAACAAGTTAACTTGCCTTGCTGGACTGACTACCGGTGAGACTTGATTTTCACCTGTCTTTATTCTTTGGGGGAGAACTTTTTTCAGTTGTAAAATAGCAGTCGGAAAACAGACAATGAAAAAAGTCTATATATCTATGCATTTTACAAAACTAACAAAACCTCTCTCTCTTTCCAGAGGTCCACACATTTCAAGGAAAAAAGAAAGACGTACTTGGGAATCATATGGACGAAGGCAAGTATTCAGTTTTATGTTCTCACTGTGCATGTTCTGAAAATACAATAACGGTAAACAGAACTCACACTGTTTGGGTAAGCCGAGCAGAATCCTCTGCCAAAGTGTAGGCTTTTGGAAATGTTCGTTGAAACTTGCAACAGGGTTGGGTATTTTTTGGCTGTGATGCTTCAATTCATGTTCAGCTGATGTTTACTTCAGCTTGAGTTCATGGGGATGGCTTCTTAGTGGAGCGAATTGAGAAGTGGCAGAGGAAAGATAAATGATAAGGGTTTGTGCCTGTATTCACTCACAGTTCCCATCTGGATAGCTGGTCAGATCTGTACCATCAAACTCCCATTCCCTCTGAGCCTGTTACCACAGGCAGAACCATGAGACATTGCAGAGTGACCCATCTCTACCCAAACGATCCCTTGTGGGCCACATCACGCTACCATCTCCTTGGCCTTAATCTTTTCATCCACCAGAGCCCTGAATACTGAACCTCTTGTCTGTGCCTTCCATCAAATCTAGAAGGGCTTCTTCCAGAGAACTGTTTTCCAGAACGCTGTTTACAAATGAAACTAGACCAAAAGCAGTTCATTTTATTGGAATGTATCCCAGAATATATCCCACAAACCCCTTCTCTGCAAATCATACATGTGTACTGTACAAGCTTGTTTCCATAGCACATATAAGCCTCATAGAGAAAGTGAAAGAGCTAGTCAAACTTTAATCATAAATTGAAATAGCCCACAAAGCTTTTATTATCCATTTTGAGAACTGACTTCAGATCTCAGGAATAAAACTAATTCCACATTACAAAGACTGCAGCAAGCCTAAATCCAATGGTAACACCTACTGAGTGAACAAAGCTCTTGACCACAAACATCTCCATGGAGTCTGGCATCAGACCACATCATTTACTGTACCTGATAAAACTGCAAGACTAAAATGTGCTAACCTTTTTATGCATTAAAGTACACTGTTAATTAGCACTACCATCAATTTATGCAGCTCGCTTTACAAAGTGTTGCATTCATAGTAAGAAACTTTATTCAAGTGTTTAATTAATGTAATTAATGCTTTATTCAAGTGTTTAATGTAATGTAATTAATGCCATTGGAAATTGACTTTGTTTGATGTTAACATCTGGCAATATATTAGCTTACAAATCATGTTATCATGTTTGGACCAATTTCAGTTACATTTTAATAGAAATCTTAAGATGCAAAACTGATTAAAATTGTTTGTTTTTTCTACATGTGAATCTTTTTTTCCCATATATTTTTCTGGAGTATGAAGTAATGAAGTTACAAAATTGTAATAAGTCTTTTAAAAATATTTTAAGATATTATTTTAGGCTAGAGGTCTCTCTTTAGAATTCTCACTTTATCTATGCAAAACTTTGAAAGGTGAGATGCACACTTATATAATATGCGTTTACAGCTTCACAGATAGATGGTGGTCCTTGTGATCAAAAGCTTTGTTTACTCAGTAGGTCTTAGTATTGGGTCGGCTTAAACTGCACAGTATTCTTTAGTCAAAGGTTACAGAAACACAGTGGATGCAAGTATGCAAATTCAATGGCCAAAGCATTGCAAGTAGTGCCATTGTACATAATACAGGTTTTTAGGTGGTAATGCTGTCAATTGTCTGTGCCATTAAACCAGATGTGTTTTTAAGTAGCTAGCTATACACTTTGTGTTGCCCTTTTGAGCTTTTTGCTTAGTGTATTTTGGTGCTTGGACTTGTCCAACTGCCTTGCTTGGACTCAGCACAGCACTAATGCTGATGTTACCCTCACCACTAATGTTGTTGTTTTTTGCTGAGGCTCCATTAATCTGATGTATTAAAGTTACCTGGCTTAACTGTCTACCTGAGACACAAAATAACAGTCTGGGACATTGCAGCATTTTTAAACTCCAGCTTGTGCAGCGTAGGCCAGTTGCATTGCCTTTTGTTCTTCCTAACTCCATTAGAAGACCTGACAACGAGTCTGCTCTAACCACTTCCTCTGGGGTTACAGGATTTCCTGTTATATGTGATGGACTGCAAACTTTCCACTGACATAGCAGCTCAGCACTGCTGGTGAAAAGAGACACACCACATATCTTTTGATTCCCAGACGAAGAACTTCACAAATAGAAAATTCAGCAATGCCACAAGGGCTCTTACCACGCTTTGCTTTCTTCCAGAGTTTTAAACAAATTCTTAGTGAAGTCGACTTTTTTTTTTTTTTTAACCCAAGTCTACTATATTTGTGCCATATAATTTTTCTACAGTGCTTTCTAGACTTTCTAGAAAAATGTGTAGGGAATATACTCTAGGCACAGTGGACTAAAAAAAGAAACAAATTGCAAACATCACGATTTACATTATAGCTTGCCTAAATAGTAACCCATACTGGACATAAAGCCTTTTTAACATTGCATTGATTTAATGATTAATTGACACTTACTCTTGCTCATTACTTTGAAGGTTATTTAAGATTATTTAAGAGACTATTCATGAGATGAAGAACATGATGTTTAAACATGCTGCAGACCCCCCCTCCCCCATCCCATATTTTTAGCTTTGGCAGAAGCAGGATATTTTGCCTGCCAACCACAACTTACAAAAGTCAATGTCCATAAATAATCCTTTCTCACAAGTCAAGCACTATCTCTCAAACTATTCCCTTTCAATTAATTTTCACTTTTTTTTCTCTTAGTGAGACTCATGCATCACTTCAGCTGTTGTTAAAACCTCAGCTTAATGGAGCAGCACTGTTGTAACAGTAGTGTACGACAGCCATCAGCTGCTCCGACTGTTTCGTGGTGGGAGGTTGGCTTACTGTCTCTTTGGCTTAACTTCAAGCAGACAGGCTGTCTTTGCTTCTCTCATTGTATCGGACATCTGCTCTGGATATGGACACGCATCTCAACAAAAGCTGTCTGTCCAGTCGTGCTCCTGGAGGGCCAACATCCTGCAGAGTTTAGCTTCAACCTGCCCCAGTACACCTGCGTGGAGTTTCTACTAATCCCGAAGGCCTTGACTAGCTGGTTTAGAGTGGTCCTCCAGGACCAGGATTGGACACACCTGAAACAAGTTAACAGGTCACCTGTAAATTGTTTCTTTAAAATGTGTACAGTTATTGGGGGCTCGTCTGGGATTTGACCACACACCTCCTGCACTCAAGCAAGAATCATGGGTTCATTCAGACATGCACAACATGACTTGTGACTTGTCCAAGTAAGACAGTGTTCCTGTTGTTCAAACAGTGCAGTATTGTGCTAGACTATTAACACCAAGATTTTGTGTTAGATTCTCATGAACTTACAAAAATGTATATCTTGAATGCACTGTTGCTTTGGATGCAAACATCTGTCAAATGATATTGTAAAACAGGTCCTAGAACAACAATAAATGATACAAGAACATAAGTTTAGCCCTTCTAAAATCTGAGATTTCTGATTGGATGATGTTCCATGACCAATGGATGTTGATCCAGGAACATGTGTAAATCATGTTAGGAATCCATATGATTTGCAATGATACACATGGAAACAAACGTTTATCTGTTTGTTAGCATTTCCTTAGTCATCCTTTAGTCTTTGACTACAAGCCTAGAAAGACATTGAGGGCATGGTGTTAGCTGTTGTGCTTGGACTAATTTTGGCCTCAGTTGTTATACTCAGAGAGCTACTCAGAGGGGGCTGAAAATACTTGGCTTTATCAGAGGAGATGTGTTTACTAGCAGATTCTAAGCCACCTACATACACGCACAGCTCGCCGTCTATCCACACCCCCACCCTCCTTTCTGGCACTGTCCTTATTTCTCCATGTGTGACGATTTATTATGCTCTGGTCCTGCCACACTGCTTCTTTGTTCTGTAGTCTCTTTATTTCTCACTTAATTGATGTCTGTGTTAAAACTGCAATCAGTCTTTTTAATTTGCTCCCTGGTGCTGATTTACAGTTGCTCTTGTGCTTCCTATTAACTGATGTGTAGAAGTAGGATATATATAGCGGTAGGGTGTTACAGTTGGGTCACACCATTCCTTTTGTCATGAATTGGGCAAGAATCCATCTCAAGTCCTATACTTCTCTACACAGGTTGTCCCATACACATTCACACTTCTCACAGCAGCTTGTTGCCATAGGAACACTCTTCCCGCAGACATGCGCTCTGGTTTTCTGAGTCCACTCTCCATGTCTGGCTTAAAAAAAAAGAAGGGTGAGGCGTGAAGATCTGTGCATTTTACTCATGCCAGAAATAGCTGCCCTGAGTTTTCCCTAGAGGCCCTTGTCTGACTTATCGGTGGCACTAGACGGCTATATCTCTGAGCCACTCGGGGAGAACAGGCATTGATGCTGGCTCACAGCACTGTTGAGACTTTTTCATCGCTTTGGAGTTCATACTGGTTAAATCAGCAGAAACGTGTACATTTTTACCCCGAGGCTACATTCTAAAATGTCTACTTTATTTTCCGGAAGCAGAAGTGCTCAGATCAGTACATTAGATGCCAGCTGATCTCTGCTGTCAATGCAGTTGCTTAGCTGGTTGTGGATGTTCCTTGTAAATGTGTGCACCTCCATTTCTTTATGGTTGTCTGTTAGCCAAACTAACTCTTTTCTTTATCTCCTTTTCTTTAGAAATGAGTCGCCAGACTGCCACAGCGCTGCCCACAGGAACCTCTAAGTGTCCCCCTTCTCAGCGCGTCCCAACCTTGTCGGGCACCACCGCATCCAACAGTGACCTCGCCAGCCTATTTGAGTGTCCTGTCTGTTTTGACTATGTGCTGCCGCCCATCCTGCAGTGCCAGAGCGGCCATTTGGTTTGTAGCAACTGCCGGCCCAAACTCACCTGCTGCCCCACCTGCAGAGGCCCACTTGGGTCAATCCGCAATTTGGCCATGGAGAAAGTGGCCAACTCAGTGCTTTTCCCCTGCAAGTACGCCTCATCAGGCTGTGAAGTTACCCTACCGCATACAGACAAGGCTGAACACGAGGAGCTTTGTGAATTCCGGCCATACTCTTGCCCTTGTCCTGGCGCCTCCTGCAAGTGGCAGGGATCTCTCGATGCCGTCATGCCTCACTTGCTGCACCAGCACAAGTCCATAACCACGCTACAAGGTGAGGATATTGTCTTCCTGGCCACAGACATCAACTTGCCTGGGGCAGTGGACTGGGTCATGATGCAGTCATGCTTCGGCTTCCATTTTATGCTCGTGCTGGAGAAGCAGGAGAAATATGACGGCCACCAGCAGTTCTTTGCCATCGTGCAGCTGATCGGCACACGAAAACAAGCGGAAAACTTCGCCTACCGGTTGGAGTTGAACGGCCACCGGCGGCGGCTCACCTGGGAGGCGACGCCACGTTCCATCCATGAGGGCATTGCCACCGCCATCATGAACAGTGACTGCCTGGTGTTTGACACCTCCATTGCTCAGCTGTTTGCAGAGAATGGCAACCTGGGTATCAATGTCACCATATCCATGTGCTGAGGACTAACAGCCGTGCATACTTGAACACATACACACATACATGAAACCAGACATTTCAAAAGACCGCAGGATACCTTGAGTTGTGCTTGGGGGACGGGGGAGTAGCTAACCTAGGGAACTTTTTGCTGTTGTACGTTCCAAGTAGTCATCAAAAAAACTGTAATTGGTTGGAGCTTGGCACATCCAACCTGACTTTACTCCTGGATTCTCAGTTTTATGCTACAATATTATATAAATTAAATAATTAATGTATTCTACACTTTTGAGAGCAACATTCATTGCCCTCGAAGGCATAGGAAAGCCACGTATGTGGAATGGACTTTTGCAGATGTGGCATTTGGAACAAGGGTTTGAGGAACAGCACGCAGAACTGGATGGCGGTTGGGAATATTGATCAATTTTGCGGTGGGTTTGCTCAAAAGGTGCAACCCTTAGAGCATTTCATTCTGTTTTTGTTTCCCAAGACGTTTCACATTTCAGTTCAGATAAAACACTAACGTTCAAATATTAGGTTTTGTTTTATGTCCCCCACCACACCTTTTCCCCCCTCTAATTTTCCCTACCTTGAGTATGATACAGGAAGGTTCTGATAATTGGTGCATGACCACTGGATTAGTTATAACAAGTCCAGATTTCATTTTAGAGGTCTTGTTTGTTTCTGCCTATCATTGCAGTGTTTCTCCTGTTTGTTTTTGAAGGGATAGTTTCATAACTTGGCACACGCACATCAAGCCAGGTTGTAAAAAGTCAAGTTTTTTTTTAATCAATGCCACTTCTTTTGTTATATCAAAAACTCTTTAACGGCTAGATTGAAGTTGTGCAGTACGCATGAGATCATACGTTTTGTTTCCTGAGATGGGAGCCCTCCATTACAAACAGTGGAGTAAGCACTGCACTGAATATCAGGCTAGGAACAGGGGCAATTATTAGTTATTATAATGATATGTCATAATTATCATTTTGCAATGACTTATAAGAAAATGGAATGAAAAGGCTGTTGTAACATTGTGGCTAATCTTCAGTGTTTGTAGATAGTGTTGTTCTTCAGAAGACCTCAATGTCTTCTTTTTCTCTTTTTGTAAGTCAATATTTTTGTTGCTGTTGTTCTTTGTATGTCTGTATTTCTGTTTTGTTTTTTTGCAAGGATAGGGTGAAGCAAAGCCAAACATCTCTGTGGATACATTGTACTGTTGCTAGTCCTGATCTCTAATTTTATTTGTTTTGTTTTGTTCTATTTTGCCAGTAAATAAATCTATCTTTTTCATACCCATTTTCTCACTCCTCATTCTAAGCTACAGCTGATGGTGATGGCTTTATTTGTTTCTCCCTTCTCCTAATAGGTGAGAATGGGTGAAGCAAACAAGTGCTCTGCCAACTAGATGTTTTGTCATAATTACTTTGCATTGTCCATGTTAGCTTGACTGATAATAGGGAACTTGCTTTTAGGGAACAAACCTTAGAAACATTTCAACTGTACCTGCTGTGTTTTAGTAGCCTGGCTAACGTCAGACCACGTCTCATTGACATTGAGATGTGGTCTGGGAACCACATGTTCATTTTCTCGTATTTGAGGTGTTTTTTACGAATGTCCGGAGCCGTTTATTGGGTGCTACGAATGTCTATCAAATGCGCCTGTACGTAGCTCATAGCCAATCGTTTCAATTATACCAGATGACGTATGTAGAGCGAAAGAAATTAGACGAGGAAGAAGACGATGGGTCTGAGATTTATTTGCGTTCTAAGCTACTTAGAACAATATCTAAGGCTGCATTGAAAGGTAACTTTGCGTCTGCTGCCATGTTTGATCCATAGGTATAAACAAACTGCTTCGGTGTGTCGCATAGACGTCGTCATCGTCTTGCTGCTCCCTCCCCGTTCTGTGATTGGTCCCCTCGCTGAGGTGAAAATTTGGTCCATGGTATCCAGACTGCCTAGCAGCGTGAATAAAATCGCGCTGCGCAAAGGCAGTATGGGGAAACACAGGCTAGTGTTTTAGTTAAACCTTTTTTTTTTTTTCAAAAATATTGTTTAATAGAAAAATGTTAATATTTTTTTTTTGATTGTCATGCAATGCTTCATGAAACTGTTGACATTTTAAATCAACCCAAACACACCCCTACCTTGGAATTCGCAATTCAAGAGTCGATGTCTCTATCATAGCAGAAGCAAAGTAATGCTTTGCAAAAAAGAATGCGAAGTTGATGAACTAATGACATGGAAGAACAGAAAACGCATGAGTGGACACGCCCCCTAATGTTGATTGGCTACAAGTGTATTGTGGTCCTTGGTCCGATCTACTTTCAAAAGCGTTTCTCAGAAATTGTTTACTGCACCTTTTAGGTTTGTTTTGTTTGATTTTTGTTAAAACCTTTTTGGTTTAATTTCAAAGTTGTTTAATCTGCACTAGGTGGTTCGTTACTTAGTATTTTGAACTTGGTAACTTGGCGGTGGCAATGCCCTCATGGAAAACTTGGTAGTCTAGCCCAAACTAATTCCATTGGTTAAGGCAATGTTGCTAGTCAGGATGCAGCATTTATTCTTTTTGGGGAGATCAACCAACAAATAGCCTATAGCTGTGTCTACACACTTTAGCATAAAAACAGGTTATGTTTTAAGAACAAAGTGTATGGGAAATAGGGCTTCTCACAAATCTCTACCCTTTATGTGGAACCGACTGACTTCTGTGAAAGTGGTTAGTCTACATCTTTTGACATTTCCAAACATGTTTTCTGTTTTCAGGCCAGAGCTGTCATGCAGGTATTAGAGTCATTGAGAACAAGAATGCATTAACTGTTTATAACTCCCAAACGCAGATAAAATGTCAGCATTGTTTGCAGTATAGCATGGCAAATGATCATGTGCATGACAACTACAAACAGAGCAATACTATAATAATAGTTGTCAAGATGAATCACTTCTACAGCATTTCATCTGTCCTAGAACAGACAACTAGTGTGCTGCTACACTGGTTATTTTTTTATTGTAAATTATAAATGTAAAATGATGGAAAGCTATGAAATCATATTTGTTAATCGGCCATATTCACAAAACATCTTAAAGCAACACCAAGTAACTTTTCCTCTGCGGTTGCCCTACAGGTTGGAAGCGGAATTGTCCATTACTGCTGTCGTAAATAATTTAGCCTACTGTCGCACACACACGCACGCACATGCTCTCTGTTTATCCAGCACCGGCTTTGGAATCATGATGACAATTCAAAAGCTACCCGGCTGCTAGGTATCTTACATGTAGTTGTAGTCTACTGTCGAGTAGCTCCACCTATCGGCAACATGGCTCCACCTATCGGCAATTGTAACGCTTGCCGTAAAGCAAGTCAAATTTGGAGTTTTCTTATGTCTCATTCGGACTACAGAAACGCGACCCGATCTGGCAATCTTATAGCGTGAATATATCAGATAAAGGACCGCAAAGCGGTGACATAAGTGCATTTCACCATGTCACGACTTGATGAACCACTGAAATGATTTTGAAAACATTATTTTAAGGTAAAAAAATCTTACTTAGTGTTGCTTTAAGGCTAAAAGCAGCTCTTAACTTGATTCAGGAGAAACTCTTAAAAATAATGGGTGTGTCAGTCCTAATTTTAGTCAGACCCATTTTTCAGTGCTAAAAGTTAGGGGTAGTCAAGAGGACTCCTAAATCACTGACCAAATCACAAGCAATCCTAAAATAACTGTTGCCGGCAATCCGGCAAACTACACCATTGAGGCAATAGGTGATAGCCTTGGATCCTGAGCCTTTTCTTCATAAATGCTATAAATATTATGATTTATAGATTTTAATCTGAAATAACATAAAGGTTGATTTATGTACAGACAAAATGCATTGTATGATCGAGAGAATAAAACATTGCGGTCAAGTTGAAAATAATGTTCTATCGTCGGCTCCGATAGCCTTGTGGGTACCTCAGTTCCGGCTCCTGGATCTCTCCCGTGCCCCCTTCGCTTCCTGTCTACTCACTGTTCTATCATAAAAAGCCAAAAATAAATTGTAAAAAAAAAAGAAAGGAAAATAATGTTCGATTACATGTGGCAGTTTCACAAGTTCACACTTACAAGTGATCGAGCAGAGTAAAAGAGTAAAATAAGCGCATTGAGGGCTTTGAGCTTGGAATTTAGCCCAAACCCAGAGCACTCCCCCCATATATATATATATATATATATACATGCCTCCTCTCGAGCTGATTGGATAGACCATTTGAACACGCTCCCCCAGAACATTTTCTATAAAACATTTGTCGCTTATTCTGCAATCTTTCGAGATACAGACATGTAAGAGGCTGACAATTAGCTGAACATATACTTGTTTAATTGGTGACACTTTGCCTACATTTTAAAATCTATATTTGAATATGGCACCTCGTTCTACAATATTTCTGTGATTAAATCACTGACCCCTCCCCTATCAGCCAATCACTGTGGGCATAGTTAGTAAGCGTGTTGACATCATCCATAGCAATGAGGTCAGCGCCACCCTTTCTCCAGCTGGAGAAGCTTAAGATTTCTCTGTTTCTTAGCAAAAGTTGGTCTCAGAAGCTTTGCGGATAGGTTTTCAGAGGAAACTCTTACCTAAGAACGAGAACTCTTAGTGGTAAAATGTTTTGTGAATACAGCCACTGATGCATTTAAAAAAGCTGATCTAATTAAATATAAATGGTCAGACTATTTTACCATTATGCTATTGAATGATCATCACTGCAATGGCGACTGTAAATTCATACACAAAGGAAGAATGATGGTTTGAAGGTGCAACCAATTCTAGAAACATTTCCTGTACAGACACAATGAGTTTTCAGGCAATTATTTGATGCTAACCTAAATTTAAAAAAATTCCTTTAAATTGTACTTAGTTGTCAGTCACCATACAAAGTTAAAATATTCCAGCCTTCATATTAAAGAACTTTGATATTCATTAGCCTAATTCATTTTATGAGGATAACTAAATATGTTGGTTAAATCACAACTTTAAAAAATAAAAAAAATAAAGCTGGATTAGTATAATTATCTACAGTATAAGCAGCTCAAAGTTGTCAGATCAACTTTTGTTGTAAGTTCTACAGGAACCAAATTATACTCAGTCCTCTATTATTAAATTAGAGGTTATTAAATCAATGAATTAGAGTACAAGCGCCTAAAGCTGATAAGTGCACAATGATGACAAACTAAGTGCTGAGTGTTCAACTTCCTCTATGAGGGAAAAAAAAAGTCTTCATATCTAGCAACTACAGTCTCAGAGTTTACTAACAACTTGTGGATGACTGACAGCCGAGGGAAAGCCGCCATCAAAGGCCGCATTCAGGACTTCATCCAGAGTGCTGGCGAAAACAAAATCCAGATCAGCTCGCACATGGGCTGGGATCTCCTCCAAATCTTTCTCGTTGCGCTTGGGGATGATAACGCGTTTCAGATTGGCCCGGTGAGCTGCCAAGACTTTATCCTTTATACCTCCAACCTGTAGAGAGACAAGATATATCATGTCAGCTCAGACATTCAACATCTCTGATGATGAACGGTTTAAGGTTCCTCACCGGCAGAACCAGTCCTCTCAGAGTGATCTCTCCAGTCATGGCCACATCGGAGCGCACCAGACGCCCACTCAACAGTGAGGCCAGGCACGGTACTATGGTAACACCAGCGGAGGGTCCGTCCTTAGTGACGGCCCCTGCCGGGAAGTGCAAGTGGATATCGGTACCCTCCAGGGGATCAGCGCTGCCTACAACATCATCATTCAAACACAAACATTGTGATAAACCAGTCTCGCTCAGTCAACTATGAACATAAAATGTGGTTGAACTGAAAGCGGAGTCAAGCACAACTTATGTCTATAAATGACTGCTGTAAGTACAGTACAATACAAAAGTTTGGGGTCAGTAATCTCTTATTTTGAAAGAAAATAAATCATTTTATTCAGCAAGGATGGATTAAATTTGGTTAAAAGGGGCAGTAGTGGAATGTTATAAAAGACTACTATTTTAAATAAATGCTATTTATATTCCTTTAAAAAGTCCTGACATTATTTTTTACAGTTTCCACAAAAATATTAGGCAGCACAACTGTTTTTAACATTGATAAGAAATGTTTCTTGAGCAGCAAATCAGCATATTAGAATAATTTCTGAAGGATCATAAAGACTGGAGTAACGATGCTGAAAATTCAGCTTTACCATCACAGGAATAAATTACATTTTAAAATAATATTCAAATAGAAAACAGTCGGTTTAAAATCTAATAATATTTCACAATATGAAATATTGTTTTTTCTGTACTTTTTTACCAAATAAATGCAACCCAAACGGTAAACGGTAGTTGAACGGTAGTATACATATGTATGGATAGTCAATGTCTATTACTTACCATTGGAGAGGAAGTAAGTCTTGGCATTGCTGCGGAGCCAGCTGATAGCTAGATGGGCAGATTCCTTCATGACATCCCCCAGCTGTCCCGTCAGGGTCAGCTGACCTTCTCCTTCCATACGACTGGCCTCCACAAACATGATCTCTCCACCCATAGGAGTCCAGGCTAGCCCGACTGCCACACCTGGTAGGGTCAGTCGCTCTGAGACCTACAAACACATACAGCTCTGATTACATACTTCACATGCTTATCTTAACATGTCAAAAGTTTTGGATCGGTAAGATTTTTAATGTTTTTAACATAAGTCTCTTCTGCTCACCAAGGCTGCATTTATATGATTAAAAATACAACAACAAAACAGTAATATTGTTAAATATTATGATATATATATATATATAAAATAATATCATTTATAATTAATAAATTAAGATGATATAATTTAAAATAACTATTTTCTATTTTAATATATTTTAAAATGTAATTTATTCCTGTGATGCAAAGCTTTTCAGCATCATTACTCCAGTCTTCAGAGTCACATGATCCTTCAGAAATCATTCTAATATGCTGATTTGCTGCTCAAAAAACATTCATTATTATCAATCTTATTATCAATATTACTTTAAAAAAAATTAAGCGCTACTTTAAAAAAATGAATCGATACTTTTTCCAAAAGAACACTACTTTTTCCAAAAGAATCGCTACTTTTTCAAGTGAATCGATACTTTTCCAAAAAGAATCGCTACTTTTTCAAAAAGAATAATGTAACAAAATAGTGTAACAAATGTATAACACTGTAATAAATGTATAATTACATTGAAATAAACGTATAATAACACTAATGTATAATTACATTGAAATAAACGTATAATAACACTAATGTATAATTACATTGTAATAAACGTATAATTACATTTTTTACACTACTTTTTTCAAAAAGAATCGCTACTTTTTCAAAAAAGAATCGCTACTTTTTCCAAAAAGAATCACTACTTTTTCAAGTGAATCGCTACTTTTTCAAAAAAGAATCGCTACTTTTTCAAAAAAGAATCGATACTTTTTAAAAAAGAATCGATACTTTTTCAAGTGAATCGCTACTTTAAAAAAAAAGAATCGGTACTTTTTCAAAAAGAATAATGTAACAAAATAATGTAACAAATGTATAATAACACTGTAATGTATAATTACATTGAAATAAATGTATAATAACACTGTGATGAATGTATAATTACATTGTAATAAACGTATAATTACATTGTAATAAATGTATAAGACTAACAAATGTATACATTTTTTACACAACTTTTTTCAAAATGAATCGCTACTTTCTCATAGTTCTATACATAGTTTTTCATAGTTCTATAGTTTTTTTTAACTATGTATAGTTACATTGTAATAAACGTATAATTACATTGTAATAAATGTACAATTACATTGTAATAAATGTATAATAAGACTAACAAACGTATAATTAAATTTTTACACTAATTTTTCAAAAAGAATCGGTACTTTTTCAAAAAGAATCGGTACTTTTTCAAAAAGAATCACTACTTTTTCAAGTGAATCACTACTTTTTCAAGTGAATCACTACTTTTTCAAAAAAGAATCGCTACTTTTTCAAAAAGAATCGCTACTTTTTCAAAAAGAATAATGTAACAAAATAATGTAACAAATGTATAATAACACTGTAATAAATGTATAATTACATTGAAATAAACGTATAATTACATTGTAATAAATGTATAAGACTAACAAATGTATACATTTTTTACACAACTTTTTTCAAAAAGAATCGCTACTTTTTCAAAAAAAAATAGATCAATTTTTGCTACTTTTTCAAAAATGAATTGCTACTTTTTCAAGTGAAGCGCTACTTTTTCAAAAAAAATTATGTACCAAAATGTAACAAATGTATAATAATAATAATGTAACAAATGTATAATAACACTGTAATAAATGTATAATTATATTGTAATAAACGTATAATTACATTGTAAGAAATGTATAATTACATTGTAAGAAAGTTTAAACGTATAATTACATTGTAATAAATGTATAATAACAACCTTGAAAAGAATCACTACATTTCTCGAAAAGAAACGCTACTTTTTTACTTCAGAAGTAAACAGTGTAGCTGACTTAGGCCGTGTGTCCACCAAAGCGTTTTTAGTCTGCTGAAAACACCTAGCTGTGGGCGCTTGAGCGTTTTGGCAGCACAGCGTTTTTTCCGTTGTGACGTTTCGTTGCTATGATACAGAATATCCGCAGCACACTTTACTTGTAACTGATTTCGCAGATAATTTGTTTCATACTAAAAATGTATTCATGTCATCTCCATGTTGTTCGGTTTGCTCTGCTGGTTGATGTCGTTGTACAGAAAGAATGTTGTGACAGTTGGTCGGTGTGGTATTTGCCCCACCCCTCCTCAACTGTGATTGGATGGCTGGGTAAAAAGTGACAGTGATGAGCGCTGCGTTTTACCCAAAGTTGAACATTTTTCAACTCTCGGCGACCAGTAAAAAACGTCGGGCGCTCGGCGCTTCAGCGTGAAAAAAACGCTCAGCTTCAATGCATTTAAGGGTGTGGTCCTGGTCAAGCCAATCTCCTGAACTCCAAACTGAATGTCAGAATGGGAAAGAAAGGTGATTTAAGCAATTTTGAGCTTGGCATGGTTGTTGGTGCCAGACGGGCCGGTCTGAGTATTTCACAATCTGCTCAGTTACTGGGATTTTCACGCACAACCATTTCTAGGGTTTACAAAGAATGGTGTGAAAAGTGAAAAACATCCAGTATGCGGCAGTCCTGTGGGCGAAAATGCCTTGTTGATGCTAGAGGTCAGAGGAGAATGGGCCGACTGATTCAAGCTGATAGAAGAGCAACTTTGACTGAAATAACCACTCGTTACAACCGAGGTATGCAGCAAAGCATTTGTGAAGCCACAACACGCACAACCTTGAGGCGGATGGGCTACAACAGCAGAAGACCCCACCAGGTACCACTCATCTCCACTACAAATAGGAAAAAGAGGCTACAATTTGCAAGAGCTCACCAAAATTGAACAGTTGAAGACTGGAAAAATGTTGCCTGGTCTGATGAGTCTCGATTTCTGTTGAGACATTCAGATGGTTGAGTCAGAATTTGGCGTAAACAGAATGAGAACATGGATCCATCATGCCTTGTTACCACTGTGCAGGCTGGTGGTGGTGGTGTAATGGTGTGGGGGATGTTTTCTTGGCACACTTTAGGCCCCTTAGTGCCAATTGGTCATGGTTTAAATGCCACGGCCTACCTGAGCATTGTTTCTGACCATGTCCATCCCTTTATGGCCACCATGTACCCATCCTCTCATGGCTACTTCCAGCAGGATAATGCACCATGTCACAAAGCTCGAATCATTTCAAATTGGTTTCTTGAACATGACAATGAGTTCACTGTACTAAAATGGCCCCCACAGTCACCAGATCTCAACCCAATAGAGCATCTTTGGGATGTGGTGGAACGGGAGCTTTGTGCCCTGGATGTGCATCCCACAAATCTCCATCAACTGCAAGATGCTATCCTATCAATATCGGCCAACATTTCTAAAGAATGCTTTCAGCACCTTGTTGAATCAATGCCACGTAGAATTAAGGCAGTTCTGAAGCCGAAAGAGGGTCAAACACAGTATTAGTATGGTGTTCCTAATAATCCTTTAGGTGAGTGTATATCCGAGAAAGAGATTTTGTGCCTCTATGAGATGGCACCACAAGACATTTTATATATATATAAAATTATAATATATTATACATTTACATACAGTATCTAATAAACATTTAAACGAGTTATATTTGTCAGAAATGTTATGCAGCTTCTTCAGAGCAGCGCTAAATGAACATTTTATTTAAGTGTTACACATCTTACAAATTCCATAGAGCTGATGTAAACTTATGACCTTTAAATGCAGAAAAGAACAGCAAGCCCTTCCGATTTTTATTTCCAGCTCATTTAGATTGAGAATTTGCCCCATTAAAAAAAGAAGTCCACAGGCAGACAGCCTGATTTTATACATGTCCCTTTCAAAAAAAGTGAACTTTTGCCTGTTTGTACACTTGGTAAACTAACTGCAGAAAGCCGAATGCTAACACAAGGGTTTGAAGGAGAAGATGTGTGTGATAGTTCAGCAGAACTGAAACAGGCTACTCTCTGACTGCCTCTGGTCTTCCCCTGTCCCGTCCCCATAGGCATGGCAGGAATGCAGCCTCCATTACTAAGAGGAGAGAGCACTTCTCGGAGAAACACAACAGCACACACAGGGCCGAGGCGCAAACAGTCTGACAGCTTGGTGGACAAATGAAGAACAAAAAGAGGTGCATCCCAATTTGCGTAATGCACTATTCTATGCCATTTTGTAGTATAAATAGTCTTAAAGTGCACTTTTTCTTTTTGGAATTTTCACTGTGAGCACTGACAAAATAACCGTATAAAGTTCATACACTACACAGTTGAGTAAATAGTGTATAGTGCCTCATTTGGGACACAACTAAGAAGTTTTCCGGCATTTATTTAATACTAACCTCCATTTCAAAGAGTGGCGGTCCAAGAATATCCTTAAGTGCAATGTGGTCAATAACGATTGGCATTTCTGGAGGTGCCGCTATCCCAGAATCCTCCACCTTGTTCTCTGCATTCTGGTCTAAAAGATACAGACAGAGAGAAAAGGTTGGAAACTGGTGAAAACTTTGGGGGAATTCTAAGTTTTTCTTAAATTTAAACCTTTACAACTGGTGTCAAAGTAAAAGAAGTTTGACATTTCATGAACTAAAAGTAAACTCCATTTAAGCAGAGATAAAAGCATATTTAGAAAAGTGAATTGCAAGAGGGGAAAAAAGCACTATAAAATTTTCTCGCACCAGCACTTCCATTATCATGTCTATTTGAGGCTTTTCATTAAGGAAAGTGACAGACATTGAGGCCGGAGGGGGGAAAGTGAAAAGAAAATGCGAGAAAGAGAGCTGTCTGAAATAATGGAGAATTATAGGCTGTAGAGAAATGCCACAGGGGTCCAGCTAAGGCGGAGAGCAGGTGCTATCTTAATTTTGGGAGGAAACAAAAAGGTATTATAGGTTTTAATATCATACGTAATAAGGAAAGCACTTTAGGGTGTATTTACAGAGTATGTTAATGTGTCTATTTTTCTGAAAGCAAGTGTTGTGTATTAGCCCTTGGCAAGACATACAATTATTTGCATGCCCCTTGCTGCCCACAAGTCATGTGACCAGACTGTTAATGACATGCAAAGGAGGAGAATCATGTTCTGAGAACAAAGAAGGAAATAGCATATGCCATTCTGAGGAAAGATATAATTAAATTGTCTTTTAAGATTTTACATCTTTTCGCTCAGAAATGATTTTACAGAATTTATCATATTTATTTTATTATTGCAGGTGACTGGTCTTAATGTAAATGACTAGTCCCTGCATATTTTTTTTATAATTTTGAAGCTGCACTTTTTATTCAATCCAAAGCACAAATAATTATATTTATTATTTATATTTATTATTATTGTTAATTTAATTAATTTATATTTTATTTAAACATAAGAAAATATATTTTAATTATAATGATGAAATAAGTACGGTACTTTTAATTACAAGTATTTTTTTTTATTTTTTTTTTTAGTTTACACATTAGAAAATGAATAGTGCTTTTACAAAAATGTTTTTAGAAATTATGCTGCATTTTTATATCAATTATATGGAGCAGGATGCTTCATGAGGACATGCATGTTGGTCACATGACCAGGCAAATTCTACTTGCTTTATTTATTAGTAACTGAAAACTTTTGCCTGATGCTGCATCCACAGTATATTCCATATCATGTTTTTGAATAGTGTTTCACAAACAAAAAGTACACCTTTAAAAAGCATCAGACTTTCTGCTACCTGACGAACCAATTCTTTCATTTCCTAAACCATAAGAGGGCCGAAATGTACTGAGAGTGGATATAACAGCAGGAAGCACATGCGACAGCTGTCATGATGTAAAGACTAGGAATAACACCTGCTACAGCGAGCAGCAGATAGAGCCCAAGAAACTGATTACAAAATAAAGCAAAGCAAAAAAAGAACCCCTGACCCTCGTCTCTCTAAATCTCATCTCACACATGGGCCATGCAGGAGAGGATTGAGAAACAGAGTTGGGGTACATTAAAATCTAAACAGAGCGTTAACAGGCTGGGCTATTGCTTCGGTTACAGAGGAGCAGCTGCAGCGGGACGGCGAAGGGGGGTTCTAAGGGCGTCTGTTAGCACGCTTTACCCTCCTCCACCCCTCTGGGGGCCTGTGCTTAGAGAGATTGATGACCAATATGTGCATGTGTGTGCTGAGGTTCTCATAATGTGTGAGACTAGTTTTACTGACTGTACGTTAGATATTTTCTCAGCATGGGTTTCCTACACATGCTCTTTAGTCTGAACACACATCCAGAGGTAGTGTGTACTTGATTCTGTCTGTGTGGCACAGCAAGGGTAAGTATGTGTTATGGATTGCGCTGAAGTCAGTCATCTGTATGTGGCAGAATGCAGAATGCTAAACCATTCCTGAGTTGCTGCTGTTGGGGAGCGAAGCACAATACACTTACAGAAACATTTCTTGAATGAAATACATCCTTACAAAGTGTCTTAACAGCTGCGAGACTAGTGGTCCATCAATATAGGGATTTTTAAGGACAATACAGATTCCAACAATATCTAAATAGCAGGGTGGAGCCGACACAAGGGGAACTACTACAACCGTTAAATGGCCAAGCGAGATAAAAAAGGCTAAATCTTGCCAGATTTTTTTACTCATTTAAATTTTGTAATTGAATGTTTTTGAACAGTGTTTAATAGTAAGCAGTGTTTCCCCTACCATTGTTTTGGAGGGGCGGCCGGTGCAGTTTCATTTACCTCACACACAGAGGTGTAGTGGTAAAAAAAGAGGTGGGTAAACTATAAATTCTGGTGGTGGACCACGACGTGGTCACCCGGTAAGGTGGGCCACTGCCTACCGGTGTATGTGTATCCTGATGACATTGCTATAGGCAGGGCTCGACATTAAGCCTTTTCATACGCTTGTCCTTCGGACAAGTAAATCTGTCATTCACTTGTCCGAGTAAAAAAGTTTCTCGTCCGGATTTTTTTTTTTTGTGTGTGTTAATTTATTCTGAAACAATATTCTCATCAGTGTTCAATTAGCTTTGATATTTAAATCGGCATATTGTAATATTTGCACCTTTAAAGGGCATCCCCTCCCCCAATATTATTAAATGTATGCTTCATCTTTCATTTTAAATTCCTAAATTTGATCAATAAATTCAATTATTTCGAATATTAAGACACTATAGGGCTGATCAAATTAAATCATTTACACTGAAAAATTACAATTGCATAAAATAATGTTATGAAATTGATTTAAATTTACAAATAAGAAACGTTGGAAAGAATGATCTACTTTTAAACATAACACGAAACCGCCAGTAGGTGGCGGCAGGCGACCGTCTTATGAGTGAGTCATTGATTCATTCATTCAAACGATTTATTCAAACGGCTGGTTCATTCAAGATTGAGATGTTTATGAATGGGTCATTGAATCTTTGACTCAATCGATTCGTTCAAAATGATGAATCATTCAGTAATGAAAAATCGCATAGCCTCGAAAAATCGCAACCTGTGTTGAGTGTTCCTGTGAGATGCGCCGTGGTTCTGCTGTGATTTTTGTTTGGAACTATTTTCGCTGCTGAAACAGAACAAAAACAGCCAATATTGCATCTAAAATGTAAGTGACTTAATTTTAACTGTTTATTGAACTGTTGTAGGAAATCAATGTCACATTTTCAATCGTGATGGTGTTCAGGAAAAAATAATTGAGGTTGCTTAACATATGTTAAAAATATAAAAACTCCACATTTAGATTTTTTATAGGCAGTATGTTGTTAACTGAGTGTGTGTGTGCGCTCATTTGTGTAGATTTCTCCTCGAGAGGCTAATGCAGCGCAATATGAAAGAGTTCGTCAGGTTTAACAACCTATAAAACTAATAATTAACAATATGAAACTAAAACGACATAAGCTTAACTTATAGCGATTTAGAGGTGGAAAAACGCAATTTAGAGGTGGATAAACGCAGTTTGGAGGTGGGTAAACGCTATTTCCGAATATTGGGAGGTGCGTAAACGGCGTTTACGTGCGTTTAGCCTCCACTACATCCCTGCTCACACACTGAAGCAGGAATGACGCTCGATACGTTTTTTTGCCTATATGAGGACACGAATGCATGAACTTCATCTCCAGACTCTAGATCTGCTCTGAAAGTCACTTCGTGAAAAGAGACTGCTGGCATTATACAGAGCGAGAGCGGCCTCTAGAGGTCAAATAACAAACTATCACTGGCTGAGTTGTTTACGTTAACACGTGAGGCAGCGCGCAGAACAGAGAGAACCCGCTGCACGGAGAGCGCTGACACTTCAGATGCGCATTAAAAACATCGACAGCGAAACAGTATGAATACAGAACACTAAAGTACATATTGCCATATCATTATAAAGTAATTCATTTGTTGACTAGATGCTGCATTAGCAGAGAAAGAACAGATGTATGTTTGCCGTCGACTGAGGCTGTGAGGACTCTAACATTAGTAGTGGCTACCTCAAGCGAAGCGATTAAAACAATGTGACAAAACACACGCACACGTGACCCAAATGTTTAATGTCGCAATTGTTACCATCTATTTGCATCCAGCTGGTCACTTTTTGCATTCATTAGCCGGCGAAATTGCATATTTAAAGCTAGTGACGTGATTGCTTTCTCAACATTGATATGTTAATGCAGACGACAGAAACAAACAAATCAGAAACGCATTCGATTTCAGTTCTTCTTTTCTTTTTTCACTACAATACATATTGTTATTTTGATTAGATAATTATCAAGTGTTCTAAAATAGAAGCAAATAAAGTGAGAGACTATACATGTAATATAGGTCTGGCCTCTGTAAATATTTAAATATGGCCATCTTCATCTTCATGACTCTTTGGATTTATATGAAATGGTAACACTTTACAATAAGATTCCAATTTTAGCATTAACTAAGGTTAATAAATGTTGTAGAAGTATTATTTATTGTTAGTTTGTTAATTTCAACATTTAGTAATACATTTTAAATTGAGTTTTAATTTTTATTTAATCTGTTATTACCTTAGATCAAGGTACAATTGTATTGCTCAAATATTAATACATGCAGTAAAAACGTATATTGCATAATGCATATAGTTCATGAAAGCTAGCTAATACATCCTTGTTAACAAATGGGACTTGCAAAGTGTTACCTATGAAATTTACATACATTTATAAGTTATAGCTAAAGAAACATATTTGACCTGTAATATTTTAATGTTTAAATTATATTCATGTAGAGTTTGTTCTGTAGAACTTCTCATTTTAATATATTCATATTTATATATTTATTTCATTTAGCACATTTCAGTTCAGCACTGTTTTACTTGGAGTGTTATGTTTGTTTTTAATCCAGTTTCCATTTTAAAAAATATCGGTTGACTAATCGGTTATCGGCATGTATGGTCAAACCTAAATATCGGTATCGGTAAAATCCACTATTGGTCGACCTCTAATCAAAACTTTATTTTCATGTTTTAATTTTAACAGTAGGCTAAAGCTCATTGTGCAGCACGTTGTTTGACAAAAAGTTTGTTTAATTTCATATGATTAAAAGAAATTAAATGAATGTTTTACGTCTTCATTTGATTACTAGAAAAAACACAACACCGAATTGGTGTAAGAAAATAAAACATTTCATAGAATTTTTTAATTAAATGTTGTATAGGCTAAGTTCAATAATTGTATTAGTTTCATGATTTCAATTAATTAGACATTCAATTCAAATTTTCAAATTTATTTTATTTGTGTATAGCGCTTTCACAATACATATTGTTTCAAAGCAGCTTGCTTTGACATGCTTTTTGATTACTAAAAATTTGACACCAAGTTTCCTTAACACGCCCGCTCCGCGACTAACTAGTAGTTAGGTAATGCAACATGTTTCCAGTAGGGATGTGATGATGATGACATTTTCCCATTGGTAATGCCGCCTATCAAATAGGTGCTTATACATTTCACTTTGAAACCAAATCTTCCACCATCGTCTCGTCAGTCAGCTCGCCTCACTCAAGTCATGTGATAAATCTTACTCCTGCTGCTGATCTGTGCACTGCTTTGAGCAGACGTGTTCAGTTTTTAATTAATCGTAGTGTCTGTTCTCTAACTGAACTAAATTATTTTTATTACTATAAAAAATCAAAACAACAGTGTGGGGGCTGTGCAAGTGATGTAATCGGTGTGCGGCTGAACACAGTAACACCGACTATCACAGCAAGCCTAGTTTCCAGCAACATGTACATGTTCCTGTTCTCAAAGAAAGCAAAATACTGCACAAAGTGTCATCCTAGCCAATCAGAACATACTTACCATGTAATGTGTAGCTATTGTGGTGCAGTATTTTAATCCAATCAGACTTCACTGTTGGTGGAGATAGCCATCGGGATGCATCAAAGACAAGAACACACTGGGACGCACAGTTTTATCTTTGCCCAAAGGCTACTACCATCAATCCAGAGTCTACGACTGAAGCAGAGCCTGGGGGAGCTGTTGTAATTCCAGCTATAAACTACAATGATGTGTGAGATGAAAAAAATCCCACTTTTACCTGCAAGCTCCTCCGTGGGGGACTCTGCTCTAGAGACCTTATGACCTTCAGCGACCTTCACAGCCACCGCTCGACAGATGGCCCCGATCTTCCTCTCCAAAGAGCGCACGCCTGCCTCCCGTGTGTACCTACAAACACATTCACACACAAATCTTTCTGTCATTTACTGCTGGCACTGCTGGGCCGGGGCCATGTATTGATTGCTTTTTAGCAGATAATCATCCCCAAATTAGCAACCTCTGAGGTAATTAATTAGTTTGGTGTGCAAATGTCTCTAATTGACGATCCCTGGTGTACTACAGACTTTTAGAAGAGAAGTTTGGCAGCCTGTCTTAAGATATGGTTTTGAAGGAGAGCGTGAGACAGCAGAGGATCTAGTTTACAGGAGGAGACCTAAACTCCGGCTGTGACCTAAACTGCCCCACTGTTCCTGTTTCACCTGATAATCTCTCTTAGCAGTGAGACGCTACATTCTCTGAAATGTTATGCTCCCTTCTAGCCTTAATGTACACATTCAAATATATTGCACATGCATTCAAATTTACTCAATTTAATTCCACTCGAAATGCTGTGCAAAAACAATTTCAGCCCTTTTTTTCAGTTTGCTATCTATTTTTGTTATGTTTATGTTTATATTTTCGTTTACTTTTAGTGCTGTCAAATCGATTAATTGTGATTAATCGCATCTAACATAAAAGTTTGTGTTTACATAATGTGTGTGTGTATATAAATATTATTACATTTATAATATATATATTATATTGTATATATGTCTGTGTGTGTGTATACTGTACATATACACAGACACGCACACACACAGACATATATATGATATATATAGATTTAAAATATATACACAGTACACACATATATTATGTAAACACAAACTTTTATGTTAGATGTTGTTAATCAATTTGACAGCACTATAAATTTTATAAATGTATTCATTCATTTATTTTATACATATATATATATATAAATATACATTATATATTTATATATATGCATTTATGTATTTATTCATTTTAATTTATGTAACAGTGGATTTATTGGTGATTACAAAGAAACTCAATTCTGCTGATCATGTTGATCATATAATCACCAATATATTAACCATTCAGAGTCAATGAATATGGCATGTTAACTCACAAATACCAGAATACGAGTGTATGGATGGAGAGAGGGATTCATTTGTTAGTGTGTGTGATAAGTTCTTAATTGACAATGACTGCTCCTGTCTGAACAATGTCTTGTCTTTCTGTCCTCCACATGGGTTAAAAGTGCCGTTATCAGCCTGAACCTCTTTAGAACACAAAACGTGTGTGTGTGTGTGTGTGTGTGTGTGTATCAGCATACTTGCTGATGATCTCATGTGTGGTGTCCTGTGGGATCTGGAGCTGTTGCGGGGTCAGCCCATGCTGCTCCAGCTGATGAGGGATCAGGTGCCGATGGGCGATTTCTACCTTCTCCTCCTGGATGTACCCTAATGAGACACACATGCTGATATTCAGAACACAAATTACAATCAACTAATCAAGTATTCAACAACAAAACCATCTGCTCAGTTGTAGGATAGACTTAATTGAGTTAGACTTAATGTTAAAATAGTCAGGAATTAATCACTAAAAATGTCACATCATCAACGCCACTTCCTGCTGTGTTTTTTTGTCCGCTATTGAACTCTGACCTGGCACCTGGAGGACCTCCATTCTGTCCAGCAAGGCAGGGGGGATGGTGGCCGTGGTGTTTGCGGTGGCAATGAAGAGGACCTGCGAGAGGTCAAATGGCACGTTGAGGTAATGGTCGGTGAAGCTGTGGTTCTGCTCCGGGTCCAGAACCTGAAAATGACCACAGTTGATTTGCACAAATTTAGGTATTAACACAAAAGTTAGATTTACAAGTTAAAGCGTGCACATCAAATAGATCTCATGATGAACTGTTGATAATTCAATCATGATTCTCATGATTTTGACTGCTCTGGCCTGAGGAGGTAACCATAGCAACAGGCTCCTCAAACCACTTCTGTTAGAATAAACACTTGATGGTACATCGACAAAACAAACACGGTCATTATTTATTGTTTTATTAAGGATTCACATATCACCATACAGTTCCAAACAAAGTTTCCCTTCCACTCTGTTATTAATATGCTAAACATTAACCAATTTATTAAAACCATATTTTAATGTTTTTTTACAACACCATTACTAATCTTTAATTACATGTTGTCAAATCAACATTCAATCAGTAAACTGACTGATACCTCACGCATCTGAAGTATACTTTATCATGGTAAGGGCGAGTGTTCACCAAAGCATTTCTTCACAAGCCGTCTTTTTTCAATAGTTTGCAATGGGAGCCAGTAGAGTGTCTACTCCACGCTAAATATTGCGCTTGGCTTGTTTTGCTAGCCGCCGAGAGTCGATTTTTAAAAAAATCTTTTGCTGCATTCCATTTACCTTAGAAGAGAGATGGCGGAGCTGGGAATGACGTCACACCCAAGTTGACCGTGTTCCAGGACACACTAAGATGGACGCATCCAGACAAACCTTTGCTATGCTTGCTCTTTCGGAACACAAATACATAAAAAAGCTGCATTTTGCACAGATAATGCCAAAGTATCATGTACACAAATAGAGGATGGATAGTACTGTGTGCACCACTGAGTTTCACTATGGTTGATGCATTGAGCAGCCATATTGGAGTCCGGGTTGTTGCAGTTCCCCTGAGTTTTCCAGTCGCAAGGATCATGAGGACTTGAGAGGGCATTCCAGTTAAAAGTTCCCACTGGGAACTAGGAATTCCCCACTTCCAAGGACAAATAGAACACACCATTTATCTGTACGTTTTTTACCCTGCCGTCCAATCACAGTTAAGGAGGGGCGGGAAAAATATCATACCGACCAACCATCACATTCTCATTGTACAACAACAATGAAGGAAAAGTTAATACTGCTGGTCTTTTGAGTATCCACGTCTATACAATATGATATCTCCAGGCTACCACAATATTATTATGAAAAATATTTCAAAAGAGCGCCTGGAATTTTCAGATGGCTAAAAACGCTTTGGTGGACACACGGCCTGATTATACCCAGTTTATTCTGAATCAGACATATCTGCAAAATGACTCGCTGTTCAGTGAAGGAGTCAGTAACTGGTTTGATTGATTCATTGACTGAGTCTGTTTCAAACTGCTAACTCGCAAGCATTTTTAACAGGAATCAGCGCAATCAGGGATTTTGTTTGAGGGCGAAAGTTTTTCCAAAGTAGATTTTCATCAGAGAATGAAAGAGAATTCATCACGTTAACCAACAGAACACTGCTTGGTTTGAAAGTAACTTCTGTGTGAGCTGTGCTTCATACATCACTAAACTATTGATAACAGACAATAGATCTTTTTGCCCACAGAATTTCACTAATGTGACAGCACCTTAAATATACCATTGTGGTTGTGTTTAATTAAATATGTGTAGTTGACTAAACTGGAAAAAAAAAAAGGATTACGTAAGTCTTGATTGTTTAAGAAGCATTCACACCAAGGACGATAACTATAACCATAACAATAAAGATATAGTTTTAAAAATCATTCTTAATTTAAAAGAACAGCAGAGTCCACACCACAACTATTACTATAATGGCAGTCGAACGATATCATTGGAATCACTTTTCAGAGCGATTTTTTTTCCAGTGGATGAATGAGCCTTTGTGTGAACGGGCCTTTAGTCAAGTAATAACACCTCTCCGAGATGCACCATGAGGTATGACACATGAGATGAGTTATGTGCCGAATTTTAATACTCAGGGTTAAGGGTTTAAAACAAGATCGTTATAGCTATAAACAATCGTCTTTCAAATATTTATTTTGAAATGCTGCCCTAAATAAAGCGTGTATACTCTCAGCCAGTGACAAACTATATCACCGAGCTTTCTGCAGTTTGTTGTCAGGTCGTGTCCGCCCTGTGATGAACTTTCCTATCTCCTGATCCTATCTGAACCTCAATGAAAGGGGTCACATGCTTTACAGTAGGAGATGAACGTCACTCCCTGGATGATTTTTGAGTGGCGATCTTCTGATTACACGATGCAGACTGCTGATCTCTGGTGAAATTGTAAGATACATTTCTCTCCCTCTGAATTATTGTAAAAGTACGTCATGCCAAGAGATAAGATCAGATACAAAGATGTTCAGAGCATGCATGGACAATATTTGGATATTTATCTCAGTGGAAACAAACTGGCTCATGTGTATTCAAGTGTATGCAAATGGTGATGTGTATGTGATCTTGTGTACAGAAACTAGTACAACAAAATACAACCTATGGTATGCAAGCAAAATGATCTTGTAGACCACACATGAACACATTTTTAAAATACTTTTTCTTTCAGTATCCTGGCATATGTCATGCAGTGAGTCTGGGTAATACCCTACTGGAACAGAGTGACCTGCCCTGTCAGAAATATCTGTCGGTTTAACACTATTCCATCTCAAGTTTTTCAATTTGAAATCATTTCACAGTACATCTATCCATCCACTTACCGTATATAAGGCCAATATTGCCCTCGAGTGCCTTTTAAAACTTTTTTTGGCCTTAAACATTTATACATCCAGCCTTCCATCCTCTATCCATGCTTCCTTCTTTTCATCCTTCCCTTCATCCATCCATCCATCCAGGCAAACTTTATTTTTATAGTTCCCTATGGTTTGACTTTTTTATGTATGTATTAAGAGTTTCTTGTAGTGTGAGACTGTGGTCAATACAAGGCAAGTAGCAGTACTGTAACCTAGATGTAGTTTCTCTCACCTCCAGCAGGGCGGCAGCAGGATCTCCCTGTAGGCTCTTCCCAAGTTTGTCCACCTCATCCAATAAAAAGACAGGGTTGTTTACCCCAACAGTCTTCAGTCCATTTATAATGCGGCCAGGCATGCTACCTACGTACGTGCGTCTGAGGACGAAGACACATGGAGATAAAGTTGGATTGGGGGAAAAAATTGCGAGAGGGAGAGGTAAAAGATGGAGTGGAATAGTAAAAAAAGATCTGTATCAGGACTGAGGTGTGCAAAAAAAAAAAAAAAAAAAGATCACAATCTTGCAACTGTTTTGATGAAGTTCTATTCAGGTCGCTGTACTATTGGTTGTCAGTAGGTGTTCCTGCTCCTGGAACATAATTGGTGGGCTGAGTAGCTGATCAAAAAAAAAATTAAATGAATAACGTCTTGACAATGTTGCTGGATGGCGCTTGAGTGCATCTGATGGGGTCAAAACCAGTAAACTGTAGCATTTCGTCCTACTGAACTACCAAATAGGCAGGATACAAAGACAGACAGGATGGAGTTGCGCCCTAATTACAGTCATTAGGGGGTGTAAGACTGTCATTAAACTTTAAACAATCCACTGTAGTAAACTAATGCAGACTCTTTTAAAGAAATGTGTTGTGATGTGAAGAGACAAATGCAGAGTTTATGGGGAAAGGTCTCGTAAGAGGACACATTTTCCGTAGGAGAGTGTGAAGTTTGACATTGACCAATCAGAAAACACAGAGGCTCGTCCTGGCCTGCAGGGTGTCATGATGTTATCACCTTCTAGTTTCTATAGTGACAAGAGATCAAAGGGAACATCAAAAGAAATCACAATGCAGGTCAAGGTTTAAAGTTTCTCTCGTCAGTGAAGGGTCACTACATCACGTCTCTTTGGTGGGTTCATCATTGCCTCACACCTTAATCTGACACATCTATATAACTGCATGCTTCACATGTTGGCTATGACTCACCATTTGATTGCAAAACAAAGCTTGAATAGCTTGAGGTTTAAACGTCTGAAGGATCTTGGATTAGTAACGTAACACCTGGGTTAATCACAGTAACATGAGGGTTGGGTCACAGGGTTTTAGCAATGTGGTGGAAATATAGCCTTTTTTGTTTATATAGTATACAAGTTTAAGGTCATTATGGGTTTTTTTGTAAGAAAGAAATTAATACTTTTATTCAGCAAGGATGCATTAAATTGTGACAAAGTGACAGTGAAGACTTTTAAATGGTAATGGTAATACTGTTCTTTTGAACATCTATTCATCAAAGAATCCTGAAAAAATGTATCACCGTTTACACAAAAATATTAAGCAACAACTATTTTATGAGCACCAAATCAGCATATTAGAATGATTTCTGAAGGATATGTGACACATAAGGCTAGTAATGATGACTATAGGATTACAGTTATTTTTAAAATGTAATAATTTTTTCGCAATATTACTAATCTTTCTGTTTTTTTTTTATCAAATAATTGCAGCCTTGTTGAGCATAACATAATTCTTTTCAAAAACATTTAAAGAATGTTACAGACCTCAAACTTTTGCACGGCAGTGTGTATTTTTCGTGCAGTCAGACTTTTGACAACAAGCATGAAGTCTGGTCCACACAGCTTATTCTGGCCAAGAACAGCTGACAAAAGGACTTGACCTGCATGTATAATGACCAACTACAGTTTCTTCCTCAAAGCAGTCTGACACTGAGGCCACATCCACACGAAGCCAGAGCTTTCCCTATCCGATGTTTTTTTTCCTCGTTCTAAAAAAAAGTCCATAAACGCGGCGACGTCTCGAAAAATATCTGCGTACACACGAAACCACTGAAACCGACTCAAAACGATGTAGTATACATCCCAGACCAGTATATGGCGCTGTAATTCTGCCATAGAGATACACTAAAAATGCGAGAAGAAGACTTGCGCATGCGCATAAAACCTTGTGCGCTGTAGGCTACTATAGACAGTAAAATAAATACTAGGCTACAATAATATTAGGCGCAGTTGCTTCTTTTCTTTTCTTCTTTTTTTACCAAGAACTTTATTGAACAACCATAAATTGCCTGGTACAAAATAGGGAGTCACGATATTCGATTAGTTAGCGGACTCAGGTGCCACAAAGAACCGGCAAAAGTAACAAATGTGTCAAATATAGACATTTTAATTGTTTATTAATAAACTAGTGTTTTCTGTGTCATTCTTGACTGAAAAGATGAAGTTGGTGACTCGCCACTTCGCAGTATTGTGAACGCGCCTATGGAGTAGGCTAATGCACTTCATACGGATTAGGATATAAGAGAGAGTTATCTGTTTCTTTTCATTTTGAATTGTTGTTCGATGTTGTTTAAACGTAGACATTTCAAGCTTTCTATATAATTCTGAGTTTCGGTTCATTTATGAGACGAGCTCCAGTTCACGAGCAATGCAAGTTATATCGCGCTGGCGCGTCCGTCCTGATTATATTGTCTGCTATAGCCTATATTTGCTTCTTATTTATTAAATCCAGGTAACTGGTTGATGAAACATTGATTAAAATTAAGAGACAATTTATACAAAAACGAAATTCACTTTAAAGAAAGGCTTTATACAAAACAAAACTTAATGTGGTTAAAATTAGGTCTCCCGATATATTGCGCATCTTATTACATCCTACTCATGCATGCGGTTCACTTTTCATAATCAACATAGATTAACCTGTTAAGCTTCAAGCCCACTTTTGAAAAATCCCCAGAAATGACATACACAAACTGAAACAGATACAGTTCATGAACCCTTTGCACTAAAAGCACAAGTATGATCTCATTTGAAAGCTGACACCTGGTTGTTTATTGTAAATGTAGAATTAATTATTGTCATAATGAAAAAAACAATTTTAAATAGCTTCAAAATTTTGTAAAGTTATTAGAAATTTATTTTTATGAAACATCTTCATGAAAATAAAATTGAAGTTGGCCCTGGAGCAATCTAGAAATGCACTGCAGCTAAAGCCACATGTCTGACCATTTTATATTTAAAATCTGAAAATGATAAGTATAAAGCTCTGTATTTAGTTAAATGTTTTTCAAGATCATGTCAAATTACTTTATTTTGATTAGACTCTATAAGCAAACTGATGTTTAGTCATCTTCTGAGTCATCTATTCAGTCTATTGTCTCTATTGTTTTGTGGTGCCCCATTCAGTCTCAGTCTCCCCTGCACACATTTACACCTCTCCAGACTGGTTATTATGGCTCTAAATATGCATTTCTTTTGTCTGCATTATAGCTACTAACGACTGGCTATTCACAAGCTATTCATAGGGTTTCAAACCCTAATTTCTTTTATCAAAGTTCTCACTAAATATTTGAAACTGGTATCAAATGCACTGAAACATTTCAGTAAGCATTCCTATTTAGAAAAAAATCATAAAACAATAACTGCTCGTGGCAGGTGCGCCTGGGCTCGCTAGCATGTTAGCTTAGCACACCATCAATACACGACCATTTATGAGATTAAAACTATGTTTGCGCTCCAAACTCACTATATAACGCAAGTCTAGTGTTTTAAATAATCTTCTGTGATCTAACTTGGCTTCAGATAAAAAAAAATCAGACAGAAAATGTATTATTTAGTGTTCTGAACGATGATGAAATCTATATCGATTAGCATTACATTATAAATATAATCTATTATTATGAAATACCTGGCATGGCTTGAAGAACACAGGTAACTCAAATATCATTGCAATCATGTTTATTGTCTTCAAAACATCTTTATCTGCATGTTACAGCGATCTCTGTACTTTCTGTATCACTCAGTGACGTCCTGGAATGTCACATGACTATGGGTCTTCTTCATGATCCATATATGGACTTTTATTGGACATAATAGCGCCCCCATGCTATTGGTATGAATGGAAAACACAGCACATCTCAGTAAGAAGCGATCATTATGATTACATCGACGCATTTGGGTATAAATTCAATAAATATTATTCCTGTCTATATAAATATGATGTGAATCTATGAGAATATATCAATATTTCTCCACATCTGCACATTGTTGAGCTAAAAGCCCTCAGGGACGTTGTTTTGTGAATCGCTGTCATGACGACAGCACGGAGTGTTTTTTATGAATGGACCGGCTGACGCTCATAATTCATATTAAAGGTATCGACTCATTTTTTTCATTTCATAACTCCTGACACAAATTAAGACATTACTGTCACTATAAGTTTCTCAGAATACAATAGTGGTCCAATACTGAATCTTGAGTCTTATATCTTTTTAATGATGTATAGTTTGTCAAGGTATAACATTAAATCTGATAGTATATTTGAACTAAATAAAAAAAAAAACGCTTCAGTGCGCCGACGCTCTGGAGAAGGTTAAGAGGTTAAAAAATAACATATTTAAACATAAATATTAAACTAAATACATTTCTTTAATGGCTACAACACGTATAGGCCTACAATAAGAGAAATGTAATGTCGGAGTGGAACATTAGAGGGGTGCGTTTTTTGAATAGCCGTTATAATCAAATAATTCCCATCGATCGTTTATTTTTGCTTTAAATCCCCTTCCCTACAAAATACGAAATGTCTTAATCGGACAACAGACCTGCACCATAGCATACGAAAGAAAGTGTAGGCCTAAATAAATAAATTCAATAAAAATACATTTAAGTAAATAATAAATAAAGGAATACAAGAGGCTCAGTAGTTTCTGCCGCATTATATTATATTATATTATATTATTATTATACAAGCAATTCGGCAGTTGTTGTTGCTGTTACGTGACTGTCTGACTAGTCGACACGTGGGGTGATGACATCATCGTTTCACAAAATATACGGATTGGCAGTACACACGAAAACGCAAGGGTGTCGGTTTCAGATTTATCCACCCTGGGACCCGGTTTCAAAAAATAGCGGTTTCAGTGTCCCAAAACGCGTCTCCGTGTGGACAGGGCCTGAGACTATATGTATCATGTACCATGCCTGTTTGAAGATCAGACTTTGAGGCTCCTACCATTATGATGACCTCTTTGACCTCTTACCTGTGGCCACGGATGTCAGACTGATCACAGACTCCCCCCAAGGCGATGCGGTGGAACTCTCGACCCAGTGTGCGAGCGATGGAACGCCCAACGCTGGTCTTTCCCACACCGGGGGGTCCTACAAAACACAGTATGGGCCCCTTAAGGGTACTCTTGAGCTGCCGCACAGCCAGATACTCCAGCACCCTCCTCTTCAGCTTCTCCATGGCATAGTGATCATTATCCAAGAGCACCCGCGCTGCACGGATGTCCAGGCAATCTAAGTAGATAACAATGAAACATGTTATAGGAGTTAAGATTTTTTTTTTTTAAGAAATGAATACTTTTATGCAGAAAGGATGCATTGCATTAATCAAAAGTGACACTAAAGACAATTACAATGTTACAAAAGATCCAAATAAATGGACTTTTTGGACTTTTTATCAAAAACAGATGTATCACGGTTTCAACAAAAATATTAAGCAGCACAACTGTTTTCAGCATTTATTATAATATGAAATGTTTCTTGAGCACCTAATCAGCATATTAAAATGATTTCTGAAGAATCATGTGACACTGAAGACTCAAAATTCAAAGGAATAAATTATATTAAAATAAATTAAAATAGAAAAGTTATTTTAAATTATATTAATATTTTACAATATTACACTTTTTACTGTATTTTTGATTAAATAAATGCAGCCTTGGTCAACACACAAGACATTTTTTCAAAAACATCTTGCAGACCCTAAACAGTTATTGTAGCCCTTGATTGCACGCATGATGTAAAATTTGGGAAAGGAATGTGAGTATTTTATCAAAGACATATGCATCTCCACTACCTCATGTAATAAGATACAGACATATGTGCAGCTGTCTCATAAAGTAAACTTAAACTGGGCACAGAATTTTCTTTATGGATCTCACAAATCATGAATTGTCTAATTCTTCATTTACAGGAGAACATTCCTGTAAGGGCAGACCTCTCTATTCCCAGCTTTCAGACACTGATATAAACCACTAAATCAGTTTTCTTCTAATGCTGTCCCACCCTTGAGTGCCGAGCTTAAAAGACTGTGAAATGCACTTCATGTACATGAGACTTTCCCAGCAGAATTCCAGCCCCAAGGTCTGTAACACATTTAGCAAGGGAAATTCAGAGGTGTGTGTATGAGAGCATTCAATCACATGCGCATGTTTGTTTGAGCCCTTCGTAGATAGTCAGAGATCCTATTTCAAGGCAAGCTATAAGCTTAGGATAGTAGGTAATGCATACACTTTTTTACATGACTTTAAGTGTGCCAGTAAAATTGGTAAAACAAAAAGAAATAGCTGCAATCATGCACATGAGATAATAATAGAAAACAAAACACAGAAAATGAATGAATAGAAAGGTTTTTAATGCTTCTCAACATATGGTTCAACACTCTAGCTATGCTTGCCAAGATCATGTACTGTACTGGAGTTCTCAGAGTCCCTCATGTGGCCATGAACAACATGACAAGAATAACACGTGTAAACAGCTCAAATGCCTCAAAAGTAATTCATTCACAAAATTAGGTAAGAGTCTCCCTCTGCTGATGGCTAAGCAGTGTAAGCAAACTCTCCGATTGATTTTACATGAAAAGCTTAATTAAAAGTTACAAAGATGTTATCAACAATTAAAAATATTTTGGAGGATATCTCAAGACAACTTTTTTTTTTTTACTGAAAATTTTATTAAACTATTACATTTCTTTAAATTAATTTTCAAAAAGTTTATTATGCATTTAGTGTATATATACGCTACAGTTCAAAAATTGGGGTCAGTTTTTTTTATGAATACACTAATACTTTTATTCACAAATGACATTAAATTAAATAAAAATGAAGAGTTGTAATATTCATAATGTTACAGAATATTTATATTTCAAATAACTGCTGTTCTTTTGAACGTTCTATTGATCACAGCATCCTGGAAAAAATGCATCACCTTTTAAAAAATATTAAGCAGCCCAACTGTTTTCAACATTGATAATAATAATAAATGTTTCTAAAGCACCAAAATCAGCATATTAGAATGATTTCAAAATGATAATGTGACACTGAAGACTGAAGTAATGACTGGAGTTTTTAAATTACATTTAAAAACATCAAAATAGAAAACAGTTTTTCTTAATTGTCATAAAATTACTGTTTTACTATATTTTTGATCAAATAAATGCAGCCTTTATGAGCATGAGAGATTTCTTTCAAAAACATTTAAAAATCTTACCGACCCAAAACTTTTGAACTGTAGTGTACAAAACATTGGTAAAACATTAGCATAGGTCATTTAGAAATATACAATATATCTACAATTACAAATTGTTAAACAATTAGTTACTAATTTTTAATTTAAACATTTATGTATGGATGGAGTAATTAACATACAGAAATACTACAATAAATAATGCTATACTTTGACTTAATTTAATAATATAATGCTACATACTTATATTTAGTATTATATAAAATATATTACTATAATAATTTGAGGTTTAGTTGCAATAATAGTTAATAATAGCTTATAATAGTTAGTTTATAATAGTTGTAATAATTAATCATTAGTGTTTAACAGTGTTTGGAAACTTCACTCCAAAAACAAAAATGCATGTATGCAAAAATACAAATACATTTTATTTAATTTTATTTTAAAAATCTTTCTTACCTGTAGTGCTCTTGCTCCAGGGCAGCTCTACCATCATCTCCAGATAGTTCCGGGTGAGGGCATACTCCGGCATGGACTGTGGCATCTTTTTTAATCTATGGCAAAAAAGATGTTTGGTAGATGAGGAAGAAATCCAGATGGGATGCAGCTCAGGAGGAGGAGTCATGAATGTAGTAGTATACTTTATAGTAGTATAGTAGTAGTAGTAGTAGTAGTATACTTTATTGTCCTCGAAAGGAAATTTGCTTTGGACTACATGTTGCTGCATATACATATAAAAAGAGAAGAAACAGTTGATTTAAGACTTTACACATTTAAAATTAATAAGATAAACTGTTATTCAGCATTCGTACAGATACAGGAACAAAGGAATTCTTATATGAATTCTTATATGAATGTGCCATTAATTAAAATAATGATTAAACTGTAAAGATAATGACTTCATTTTAATCAGTCTAAAAACAACTGCAAAAAGTCCCTTGCTGTCTGGTGCGTAGGCAACTGTGAAATGTGGTTTCATCTGAAATTACCAGTACATACCGCCTGAGCTCCTTGAGACACACGCGCAGTGCAGCTTCTGGCATAGCTGCCGCCTTCACCTTCTTCTCCAGCAAAACATTGTCATCACCATCTTCATCTTCCACCTCGTCATCCAGCGAGAACTGACGACCTGGGAACACACCACCTTTACGGATGGCCAGCACCTAGGAGAAAGGAGAAGAACTCTGTGATAGAGCAGGAAGTTGTGGAGGAAGGTGACTGTGCAGCCAGAAAGAGAAACAAATGTTGGCCTACCCTTTTGTCATCATCAGGTCTGAGTTTGCGTGTCTTTTGCAGTAACTTGAGCCCCTCAATTTGTCTGGTGAGCAGAGGAAGGGCCTTCTTAAACCGTTCCTCCAAGTCTACTGCATCCAGCACCTGACAGAAAACATTTTTTTTTTTATTGTTTAGGTTTAAACATGGTGCATGATCACACTAGGACTAGGTCATTCATACTGACTCTAGAACTGTGCACAATAACCCTTATTACTGTCGCACCTGCAGTTTCTCTTTGTTGGAAGTGCGGATCATGGAGGCCAGGACATCTGGTAGGGTTTCTCTAGGCAGACTGTCCAACAGACGCCGGAGTTTAGCCACCACAGGCACAGACATGTCCAACATCCCAACCAGCTGGACAAAGAGAGGCCAGAGAACACGGTCAATACACTGAATGAAAAGCCTACATGCAATGAATCATTCTGTATCATTTGGCAAAGAATGAAGCCTTTATATTCATTCAGTTTAAATGATGACTCATTGTATAGATGATTGGTGCCAAAAGAGAAAAACACTCACAATTCCATTCATCTTTTCTTCAGTCATGAAAAAAGGATGTCTTTGATTTTTTTTTTTTTAAACATATCTTTAGCATTTATATTTTCTGAAAACTTTGACTGCCATCAATTACCATTATTTGAATTTATCAAAAAATGTATCAAATTCTAATGTTGGTTATCATTCCTCAAAGAGGTAATTGGTAAAAGTAGGTAAATAAAAAAAATATTTAATTCATTAATTAATTAAATACATATACTACTATTAATATATATATATATATATATATATATATATATATATATATATATATATATATATATACACACACTACCATTAAAAAATTGGGGTCAGTAAGATTTTTTTTTTGAAGGAAATTAATACATTTATTCAGCATAGACGCATGTAATTATGGAAGCTTGTTTCCGCCACAGAAAAAAAAATTAAAAGATAATCACAATTCTGACTTTTATCTCACAACTGTGAGAGATTCAGAATTGCAAGATATGAACTCACAATTGTGAATTTAAATCGCATGTTTTGAGAATTGTGAGATATAAACTCGCAATTGCATGTTATAAAGTCCAATTCTGAGGAAATAAAATACTTTTTTTCTCAGAATTGCGAGTTTATATCTCACAATTCTGACTTTATAACACACAATTGTGACTTTATATCACACAATTCTAAGAAAAAAAGTAAAAATTGCAAGACGTAAACTCGCAACTGCGAGAGAAAAAAGTCAGAATTGTGAGATAAAAAGTCGTAATTTCCTTTTTTATTTTTTATTCCATGGTGGAAACAAGCATCCATATTAAATTGAATCAAAAGTGACAGTAAAGACATTTATGTTACAAAAGATTTCTATTTCAAATTTTTTTTAAAGTATCATGGTTTTTACAAAAAGAATTATCATCGTCTTTTGACTGGTTGTAACAAGCAACGTTTCTTGAGCGCCATATTAGAAGGGTCGTGAAGGATATCTGAAGGATCATGTGACACTGAAGACTGGAGTAATGATGCTGAAAATTCAGTTTTGCCATCACAGGAATACATTTTTTTTTTTAAATATTAAACAGTTACTTTGATCTGTTTATTTTTGGTCAAATAAATGCAGCCTTGGTGAGCAGAGACGTCTTTCAAAAACATTTACAAAATCTTACTTAATCTTATATTATACACAGGTGAATCAAGTGAATAATATCTGTGACTTGTGGAAAAAGTTATTTTTATAGACTGTTAACAGAATCACAGCACAAACACTGCTGACCTGTACAGCGGCCTGATAGAACCTCTGTGCCAGCTCTCCCAGCTCTCCAACAGCCGGATCTCCCTCTGTGTACTGCTCCAGTTTGTCTAGCTGTTCCACCTCTGCCATGGGGAAAGGTCTCTCTCTAAGCAGCTGGGTCACACGAAAGCGACACAAGCCCGTAATGAGCAGTGTGTAGTGCGGTTTTGGCCAGTTGCTGCCTACGACCTGTACTGCCAGTCCTGCTGTGCCAATACTGAGACAGAAGACAGAAGCACAGATTAAAAGACAGAAGTTTGAAGACAGAAGTATAGATAAAACTAAGCATTGAGGCCTGAGTTTTGCTTTCTGTCAAATCTAATTTATGATTTTGTAGGTTTCGAACTGGTTTCTTGAACATGACAATGAGTTCACTGTACTCAAATGGCTTCCACAGGCACCAGATCTCAATCCAATAGAGCAGCTTTGGGATGTGGTGGAACAAGAGATTCACATCATGGATGTGGAGCCGACAAATCTGCAGCAACTGTGTGATGCTCATGTCAATATGGACCAAAATCCCTGAGGAATGTTTCAAGTACCTTGTTTAATCTATGCCATGATGAAGTAGTAAGGCAGTTCTGAAGGCAAAAGGGGGACCAACCCGATACTAGAAAGGTGTACCTAATAAAGTACACCTATCTAGGAATACATATATACAGTACTGTGTAAAAGTCTTAGGCCACCATTAGATGTTGTTTTAGCAATGGTATAATGACCATATATAATTATTTCACAGTCTCTTTATTGGAATATGACCAGAAAATACAGGTTATTTGTATGCAATATTAAAAAACATGGCTTCTACAGGCTAAAGTGGCAAGTATTTCTCTTAAACCTAAATGGAATGGAAAAGGACTGGAAGAACAAGAAAAGTTTCAAAATCTGATAGGAAGTTTCTGAGAGTTTCTTCTTTGAGAAACAAGTCCAGGAGGTCACACTAAATAATGATTTTTGCTTAAAGAAGCCATTTTGGTCTGATTTTTTTTTTTTTTTTTACTTTTTGTGTACATATTTCCTGTATTTTCTGTTTGTATCTTAATAAAGAGAGGTCATTAAAACATTGCTAAAACAAAAAAGCTGGTGATGGCCTTTTACACAGCACTAGTCTTTTGCACAGCACTATATATATTTATTAATATATATATATATATATATATATTATGACTTTCAACATTTTGTTACATTTATATGACTTCCAGGCTTGTATTCCTTTCTTATATGTCAATGTTTTACATTAAACCCTGACTGGAGAGCCATTGATCGCTGAAAGAGCAGAGACTCGTAAGGTTAAAGTCCATCTGCTGCTCAAACGATTATTCTAGAAAACAAACACTGTTACTACAGCTGGTCTCTAGCATGTAAAAAACATAATAAACAGGCCAGGTAAAGTTCAGTGAATACAAAATAGTGTCAGTCATCATCACCAGTACAAACATTTCTATGGTAACCATAAAGATTTCGGGAAAATATCAAAGTTACACATTATAAAATAAAGTTTATAATACAATAAAAGTAACTTATTTTATTATAAAAGCATAATAAATGACTATGGTTTCATAACGAAACTCAATGACAGTTGCATCACACTAGACCTGCAGCGGGTTTGACGGTCTTGACAGCGCAGAGCAGACCCACCTGTGCAAGGACGGGAGCTCATCGCTGTCGTGCTCGGGGTCTCTAGTGTTAGGAACAATCCCTATGATGGTGCTCTTCAGCGAGGTCCCCTTCAGCAGTCTGCTCTTCACTAACTGCATGTTTCTCGCCGTGTCGACGCTGATTCTCATGGTCGAGCCGGGTAACAGCACTCCATCATGAGTGCACAGCAGAGGCAGCCGGCTGGGTATTTGAATACCACTGTTGGATGACATTGTGCAAAGGCTGGATAGACGTTTAAAGTTTAAAACTTGTATTCGCAGTGAACTAGGGGTGTAAGGAATGCCTTCATCGTATGACAGACTGTGACAAATGAAAACAGGAAGTTGGAACTACGGCAGGTAAACTAGAACAATCTTTGGAGTGCAAACGGAAACGCCTACTTTTGTGAAACCCCGCGGAACGTGGCCAAATGTACACTGTGTACTCTCCCTTCGTTTACTTTGAGGACGAGATTGCAAAATCAGAAAAAATATTGGAACATTTGAAGCATGGCAAAATTCACGCAGCAGGGGTAGAATCTTTAGGATAGATGGCCCAGGCCCAATGACCAACGGGTCCATTAGGGGGCCTCAGCAAACCTCCAAGGTGGCTGCTAAAAAGGCTTAAAATGAATGAAAATACTAAAATAATCGAAGCTAAATGCTGAAAAGGCTAAAATAAAATGTGTAAACATATTTCTTATTTTAATATGTCTCCTCAACTGTTGTTGTTTTTTATTGAAGAACATAATTTTGGAAATTTTGTAATCACAATTTTTATTCTCTATTCAATTCTACTCTATTCTATTGACTAGCTTTTGTTCTACTTTTAAGAGGAAACAGACAAGAGCAAAAAGGTTGAGAACCACTGCCAAAGAGGACATTAAAGGTCCAGCGAATAATATGAAAAATATGAAAATTATTATTTATTTATTTTCAGTTTTCATTTTAATTTGAGTTTGTTTTAGCTATTTTGTTATGTGCTTTTATATATATATATATATATATATATATATATATATATATATATATATATATATATATATTTATTTATTTATTTATTTATTTCTGATTAGCTTTATTTTATTCCTGATTAGTTCAACTTACTTTATTTCAGTTAGTTGCCAAGGCAATATTTCTAGTTTATTATTATTTAAAAAATGCAAAAGTTTTCTTTTAGGGTTAGAGTGTTTATAATCAGCTATATAAAATAATTTAGGGTAACACTTTATTTTACTGTCCTTGTTACATATGTTACACGTACTTAAAATGATCCATAATTACACACAACTAACCCTCAACCAAACTCTAATCCTACAGTAGGTACATGTTGTTAATTAATATTACTCAGTACTTAAATAAATAATTACACTTGTCTCAATAAAGTGTAACCTAATTTAGCCAATGTCATCACCTTCATATAAAAATGTGTCTTGTGATATCTATCCCGATATTGTAAATCAGGTACTGTATGTGTGTGAAAGGTGAGTGTGTTTGTAAAGTAACCAAACCCATAGCTTAAAACAAATGATACATGTGAACACGTGGGGGTGATAGTGGGAGATTTATTTCCAAGCCATGTTACAACAGTTACCAGAACATTCTGTGGCAGGAGTCCAAATAAATAAACTAGATTAAAATCTGTGTATAAAACATATGCAAACCTGATATCAAACCCTATTGGTCACCTTAAAAAGCTTTTTATTGGAGTACTTTGGTGCAAACTTTCAACATTAAACCAGCAAAGCACAAAGTAAAGAGCCAACGGGTAAAAGCAACAGTGCCGACTAAGCCAGCAGTCAGCACAACATTTGCATGCAAATGATATGTGTACAAAAGAAGCTCCATGTAACTTATACATCTTACCTAAATCTTACCAAGAACATTTACAACGTGGCTTGATAATATGCTGTTTTGGCATTCACCAAGGACAAAATATTTAATTTCCTCAGAAATATAAGTCACAGTGGCAAAGACTTTTTTGGAATTACCAATAGAAAATGCTACAGCGAAGAGTCAAAGCTTGTCTCCTCCATAGAGCACACGCACAGTGCACATGAACCTTTTTAGCAAAATACTACATCGATATGCAAGTTTGCGGGCGGGTGGACGGAGGTATGAATGTTCTGAATGATGGAGAGCAATAGCTGCAGAGTCATTAGAGTGTCTTCCAAGTGGTGTGACGGTTGTTGCAGTTTTTTCCATATGGGTAACACCGGTGGAGACAGTCAGAGACTTCACTAGGACAAGAGGCACACAAGCATGCTGTGTGTCACTACATAAACAGGGAAACACCCTTTTACACCAACACCAGCAACATGAAGACAGGATCAGATCCGCTTAGATCTGCTGCTATGTTGTTTTCTTCTCTTTCCTCCGGTTGAGGACTTCACAATCTACAAATAAACAAAGAGAATGAGCACAGATAAGTGGTCATATTTTAGTGTCACATATAAAGATGTTATTTAGAGTTGCTCATTAGATTGCCTGAATGAAATTGTTACGATAACAAAAACAATGTACATGATCATACTTGTCATTTTCCCAAAGAATTGGTAGAAAGCATAGACCGGGCATGTTCAGGCTAGTAAAAACATGTGGGCTTCTTAAGGTATACTCTACATCCTTCAGACAACCTCAAAGCCTGAATCATGCCACAATCTCATTCATCATGGAGGGGATAAAGATGTTGATTCAATCCCCTAAAAGTTTTTCTCATTCACAAAGGCTGATTTTTGACCACAGACATGCACCAACAAGCAGCAAACGTTTCTTTTTGCTACTGTGTGCATACATTTTGGGGTTGCGTAAGGTTATCAACAAAAATTTGGTGGACTGGTGGAAGAACCCTTCTTGCGGTTGGACTCCAAAATTCCCCAACTGCTCCAAGTGGTAGCAATCATTAGATGGACCTCAACAGTCTTGCCTCAAACCCTCAATGAGTAAGTCAGTCCCATCATTCCCAAAAAAAATTCCAAATGTAAAAAAAAAAGTAGTCTGTGCTTGTTGAATTAATTCAGTGGGTCTTTTAACCAATCAATGTTTAGCAGATCAATATTCTACAGTCCTACAAATGTAAAAACAAACAATACGTTCCATTCACTTACAATCATAATTGTCATCCTCTTTTGAGAAGCACTCTTTGAATAGGCAAAGCATGGTCCGATAACTGTTATCCAGTATTGACTTGGGTTTAACAGACTTCCATCCCTGGTAATATGAGTCCGTCAATCGATCCCGGATGTTTTCTATGCTCTCTGGAAGAACTCTCTTTTTTGAAACAGGTACAAAGACACATACATTTTGACATGGTGAATTTAAATACTAGAAACATTGCTTGCATAAATAACAACAGTAACACAGATCCAAGAGGTCAAACTGAGTTGAGTTTAACCAAATCAAGAAAACAATAAGCCTATGTGGGGGTTTTATTTTCCATTAAAACTGTAGAAGTTAGCTTTGGGATACTGTGAGCAGTGGCAGTGGCAGCCAGAATGATTTATAACGTAATGCTGTTGAGAAAGCAGAAATGACATCATTGTTCTAACCTCTGGATCTACGGGATTCCCGTGGTGAAAAAGCGCCTGAAAATCTCTGAAGAGGTTCTCCAGATTGGAGAGGTATTTACGCCGTGTAGGATGTCTCTCTGGCAGCACCATTAAAACCCTCTTTATACCCTGCTGACTAACCAAAAGCCACAAATCCTGTAGATCTCTCCTCTGCACTGGTTCATCTTCATTACTCGTATTCTAGAGAACAGAGAGAGTGAGAGATGAAGAAAGGAGGAGAAGAAGAACTATAATGAGGGAAATGTTCAATTATATTAGGATGGTTGTGATTTATAGACATGTATTCTTTTAGTGTCAGAATCTCATAATATTGAAGAAAAAAAATAGTTTTAAGGTCACAGGAGTTACACAGCAAATTTAGAATTTATAAATAATTTTACAAATGTAACTATTTTGTGTTCTGATATATTTTTCTCTTTTTTCCCCCTTTATACAAGAAAAAAGACAATTACAAAGGTTATTTCTACAATAAAACAGGAACATTATTAATAATATAGATAAAAAAATTATTGCCAGACACCAGATAGCTATCAGTTCTGGAAACAAACATCTTTTATTCTCCAAATGTTTTTTTATTTCCCCCTTTTTATAACAGAAACTATATAGAATATAACAATATAACTTATAATAACTTATAATTCTTAAGAAAATTACCTTGCAGACCGTTTAACATTTAATAAAAGTCTGATTGTTTGGGTTTAATGTATATTCAGTCCATTCACTCAAATAAAATTTAAAGAAAAATTCTTTCCATCACATATATATATATATATATTAGGGCTGTCAAATGATTAATCGCGATTAATCGCATCCAAACTAAAAGTTTGTGTTTACATAATATATGTGTGTGTAGTGTGTATAATAATTTTGTATATATAAATACACACACATGCATGTATATATTTAAGAAATATTTGCATGTATATATTTTATATATATTTATACATAATTAATATTATATATAAATATAAATATTTTATATATTAATAACACATTTTTCTTAAATATATACATGCATGTGTGTGTATTTATATATACAAAATAATTATACACACTACACACACATATATTATGTAAACACAAACTTTTATTTTGGATGCGATTAATCGCGATTAATCGTTTGACAGCCCTAATATATATATATATATATATATATATATATATATATTGTTTAATATATTTATCCATTCTTTAACCATAGGTGGCTCCGGTTTTAATCATTTTCAATAATCTTTCTTAATTTAATGTTATTTTAAATTAAATTTTGACATAAGGGTTTCATTCTTAATTTAATTTTCAGTCAAATTGAATATTCAATGTTCATTATTGTAATGTTAATCTTATTTATGTTGTAATATATTTATGCATAGTGGTAGTATATGTATATTTGTATGTTGTAGGATATTTATGCAGAGCCTTGTGTTTATGCTTGTGTTTAAAAAAATGTTATAGTAAAAAAAATACATTTTATATAATACTATAATACAATAATTGTTTGAATTGTAATTAGAATTTTTTCGGTGAGATTCACCCCTGTTTATTTGCTGAGTCATAGGCCTTCAAAGCCCTGAGAAACCCTAAAACTGTGACTCCAATCTGACTCTTTTTGTAAGTCACGACTCACGAGTGTTAAATCTCGGGTGAAAGCCGGCAAACAGGAAAAATGAGCTAATTGGTGTGGGAAGTTGTGGAGAGTGTGGCTTTAAGCCATTATGGAAAGTGAGTCAGAGGTGTACTTGGGGACAGTGTCA